GGACAGAAGCTATAGTATCATTCCTGGCCATCTGTAGTCATGGTACCGAAGCAAAACTGAGATTAGGGCAGCAGCTTTTAAGTTGCCATGGTAATAGCAAGGCATAATGTGTCTGAGCCAAGCTGTCAATGTCCCCAGCTGCCTTACACCAGAATGTCTCTAGCCAGGCATTCTGTCTTCAACAGTGGTTGGTCAGGTACCTCTGCAATCTTATAAGGAGGACATGATGGACCATGCATTTCCCTCTTAAATCTCCAACATGTGACACAGCCATTGCTCATTGCAGCTCGATGTAACTATGAATTTTACACATTATTTAGCTAGTCATCATCATCATAACAATTCAGTCTTCCTTAAAATATAGTGTAGCTTACTTTCATTGCAAAAAAACAACAACAACATTTAATTTGTGTGAAGACGTCTACTTCCAAACAAGCATCACTTTAAAAATGTGAACTGGTAGATTATCTAGAATTGTTGAATTCCTACCAAATCGTTTGGGGTGCATTATTTTTCAGTTGACCTAAATGAGACTTCTACAGAATAAGTTTGAGGTCAGCTCTATTGTTATCACCTAGTTTCATCTTTGCTTTTATTTCTGGCTCTGCTTTTTAAATCTTAACTCAGCACTGTGATTTTAATTGTCAAAGAAATAGCATTTAACATTTACAGTAATTAATTCAAGATTATTTAGAATAACTACACTAATTGGTATGTTCTGCAAATCTGCAGCACTGCAGAATTAAAAATAAACATCACAAAGATATAATTTACAGCTAATCTATACTTACAATTAAAGTAAGTTTCAAGATTTATTTCAATCTATATTTTTTATTAGCTGCAACACAGTAATGGGGTGTACAGAGTTCTGGCTTTTCAAGCACCTAGATTATAAAACATAATTACACAAATTAATTAGAAATGAGTGCATATATTTATGCCGTTGTTTATAACCACAGAATATTAAACACGACAAAGTTAATGAGCAGATTCAACAATAATAAATATTGTCACTAGTATTATGAAATCAGTTCTGTAGCAACTGGACTTCATTTATCTCACTGCATGATAAGGGGACATAATTTTCCTAAGTATATTCACCTATCACCATTTAGTGTACACATAAGAGGATATAACAGGAGCAATTAAGAACAAAAGGCATGCTGGATCAGGCCAAAGACCTGCACCCTATTCTCACAGTGGCCAACCAGATGCCTATGGGAAGCCTGCAAGCAGAACTTTAATGCCAACAGCATTCTCCACTTTTGTGATTCAAAGCAATTGGTATTAACAGGCACACTGCTTTGACATTGGCACTATAACACAGCCTGATTCCTCCACATTATTTGCATAGCCTCCATTAAAGCAACCCAAATCACAACATCTTGTGAGAGGGAGCAAAATCCAGAGTTTAACTGCATACTTTCTTTTGTCTGTCCCAAATCTTTCAATGTTTTCATTGAATCATAGAACTGCAGATTTGGAATGGTTACCAAGTATCATCTAGACCAAACCCCTACAATCTAGTTCAACCCCCTCAACTAAAGCATCCGGGATAGATGACCATCCAACCTCTACTTTAATTTACTATTACATTTATATCCTTTCCTCCAAGGAGCTCAAGGTAGCATACATGATTCTCCCCCTCTCCATTTTATCCTCACAAAAACCCTATGAGGTAGACTAGGCTGAGGCATAAAGGTCAGCCCAAGCTCACGCAGTGAGCTTCACGGAGGGGATTTAAACCCTAGTCTCCCAGGTCCTGGTTCAACACTCTAACCACTATACAACACAGGGTCTTCATTAGATGTCCCTATTTAGCTTCACTGGATGTCCCAGAATTCTAGTATTAGAAGAGGGAGAAAGAGTCCTGAACACATTATCTCTGTTGCATCTTGAGTGGCTTTGAACATCACAGGAAGCACCCAAAAGTGGATGCATGAGATACTCATAATAAATATGAGTATTAGCTTCCCATTGACACTATTCAAAACAGCAAAAAACAGATGGATAATAACACTGCTTGCATTTGTTGTTTAGTCGTTTAGTCGTGTCCGACTCTTCGTGACCCCATGGACCAGAGCACGCCAGGGACTCCTGTCTTCCACTGCCTCCCGCAGTTTGGTCAGACTCATGGACAAAGACAACAGGCATACTGCTTGGATAGTAACACAATAATATCAAACCATAATTTGCAAAGCTTGACCATTATTTGGTATTGTGTGCAAATCAACAGCATGAACTGAGAATGGCCAGCAAACTAGAATCTGAAAATCTGGTTTCCTAATCAATTTGCTCACACTCTGATTTGGTTTTACTTCCAAATTGCCTGATGAATGACAGTTCTGAGTCAACACAAAGCAAAACTCCTGTGAATCTTTCATAGGCCTCACAACCATACAATCATGCTAACTTAATATTTTTATTAAACAGTCATATTTAACAGTAAAGCATATCTCAGCTATCTCACATGAAATAGGGACAAGAAAGGGAAAAAACTCTGAAAAAACTCACTATGCTATAACTTATTTTTACCACCTCCTTATAAAGTTATATGCAAGTAATAAAACTATTCCCACAAAAATGATGCACTGAGAATCTTCCACTAGGCTCAATTAATAGAGGTTTCGCAAAAAAATGGGAACAATTTAGATTCAATTTCCAATCTAATTTCCCTTATAAATATGTCCTGAACATAAAGAATTGTGGAAGCAACGGGAAACACAGTTTACTTTGCTTTCTCTAAATGTTTCAACTTTCCATTTAAGGTTCCGATTGACAGCAATCCTTCCCGGCCTACAGTACTCACATGGAAAGTCACAACTGAAGCAAGAATACATTTTTAATAGCATGGGCCTGCATTCGAAAAAAATATTTTCTTACCCCTTTAGCGCAATCAGAAATATACATATGTGAAATGCTTCCTTACAGCACATAAAACAGAAAAGAGCAATGTAAAGATTTTTTATTTACCTCACTTTGTAATGAATGGACAGTTATATCTTGGGCGTACTCCCAACACACACATAACATCAATCTAGCTGTACTTAATACAGTGCCAGATATTTTTAAAAAGACACCCCCCAACCCCCCCCCCCAGCATTTCTGACTTCCACTTGCACCACCTTTCTTTTTCTTTTCTTTTCTTTCAAATATGGAAAGCTTCACAAATTTGGATGTCATTCATTTGCACTATACATACTGCCGAAGGGAGCCCTTGCACCATCTTTCTAAACCAATCAAAAGAAGTGATTTTTAATTTAAATTTATAACCTGAGCAATCCCCAAGGCCTTGGAAAAGCCACATTTTCTCATCTTATTTATTCTTACAACAACCCTGTGGAATAGGCTGCTGTTACTCCCAGTTTACAGATGGGAAACCAATACTGAGGAAGAAAGATTCACTTGAGGCTAGTTGGACTCTCAACACATGTCTTGAGGTCCAGCTTTATTAACCACTGGGATGCAATGAGCTTCTGGGAACAGAACAGAGCAATGTTTTAAAATCAGCACCTGTTACTCTAACAGGAGTGGGCTGACTTCATTCCTGCATAGTTGGTTGGTTTTAAACCAAAATCTATGTGGCTCACCATCAAGTTTTAAATCGACAAGTGTGCATCTGGCCCAAAACTTTGAACTCAGCCTCATTTTGTGGGGGAGAGAGGTGGTGGGTGGTAAAATGGGGGCAGAAAGGGAAGTTGAGATTTGTGTTTTGAGGAAGATATGAAGCTTACAGAAGCAAGGGCATTCTGCAAAAGTTCCCCGCCCCCCCACCAATAAAAAAACCAAGCCATCAATAAAGCCTCAATGTTCCTCAAATTTCAGCCTACACAAGTGACTGTGAAAGCTGAGACTTTGGCCCAGCACCACTTAACTGTCAACTGTTAAGCAATCCAGTGTGTGCACTCTGGTTTAAGAGCAACAATGTTTTGGTGGATCAGACCAACGTCCATTAGGCCAGAATTATTGCAAGAATCCCAATTGGTCCTTTGGTGGACTACAGCCTCTCTTCTGCCATCCTCAGCTTATAAGAGAAAGCTTTCATGAGTTTCAATTACTATGTCTAAATGTGGTTCATCTCAGATGTTAAGAAATATTCATTTTCTGTATAGAAGGGAAGTTAAGTAGTTTCTTTCACTGTGTGAAAATTCTGCTTTATTGGTAACATTCTCCTAACATCTATCAAGTTTGCTGAATTCTGAGGGTGTCTGCAAAGTTATTTTTCAATAGAGAAAATAATACTATGTGTAGGATATCTGTTAGTAGATTTTTAAAGACTCACATTAAATTCAATTGAGCAAAAATGGGCTGGGCTCATTTTTCTCCAGGACTTCCCATTGAAACTAATCACAGCATGTATTAAGCCACTCCCCAGAAATTCTTCTGCTGGATGGTTTTAAAATGCAGACAATGAAAAGCACTGCAGAAGCAAAATAAGGCCAATAATATAATTACGGTGGTATGCCTGCATAGTCTGAGTTAATGTTATTATTTGACATTGCAAGGCTATGTTTTCTCCCATGAGTCACAACGGAGACAAGGTTCACCCTAATTGGTTCCAAAGCACAACCTACCCTCAACAATCTTTCCTCAGGACCAGTAATGTTAATTTCTACACGACTGTAAATAGTGTTTGCCAACAATACAAACATGGTAATAAGAGGCTAGGTGGGTAAATAATGTGGTTACAAAGCAGCTTATTTGCATTTTTATTTAAAACTGCCTTCGTTAAAAAGCAGCTCAGATTTCTCTTTGCAGAAGCAGCCTTGGTTAAGAAGTAGAGCAGTAATTACTCTCTTTAGGGGTTCTTTTATATGTCCTTTAGGGAATTAGAATGAAAAGATAAGCAGAATTAGAAAAGGAATCATGTAAAGTATGAAATGTACTATAAACACTTAGTAGTGTATTTACCATAAGCTAAGCTGGTCTTCTTCATTATGGAATATGTAGCATGCTTATATTGCCAGTACTACAGCAGAGAGACTTAAGAAATTTAGAACTGGCAAGTTTACTTCTTCAAAAATTAAATTATAAACAGAACTTGCTTTATGCAAGAATGAATCTGGAATGTGTACATTCGTTTATATGTAGACTTATACACACAACCCCAATGTTGTTGGCATTCTGCAGAGATGTGCACATTCCTGTCCACTTCTCCCAATCTGAGATAGACTTGAACTCCAAACAGCATCCAAACCCATCTATACCATTAACTCCTGTGTCAGGTTTTGTATCTGAAATTTTAAATAGAGAGATTTAAAATACTCAATTTTTACAATTTTGAAAGCTTCAATATATATTAAATGATATGAATAAATGACTAAGGTACTCCGATGCAGATAAACACCAGTGCGTCCTGTTCTCTCAAGTGAGCAGACTCTTAATTCTATATTGGACATAAGCTCCTGCCCACAAAAGGAAAGAGGAAAGTTCCTGTATGTGAATCCTCATGTTCACTTGGCCATAGGCTTAATAAATACACTTCCTTGTAAATCACCAAAATCTAATGGTGAAAAATTCAAGTAGTAACATTACATCACTTAACCTTTTTGGAACACCTCCATAAGACTCTTGAAAAGTGCCTACCAAATCTTTTAAAGTATCTTCTGCTCACCCACATGAACCAGAGAGGCAGCTTTTGTATTTCAAAATCTAATTACTTTTAAGAAAATTGCTGCATTTATTTGGATCATAAAAATCACATCTTTATTATGTTGGTAGTACAAGGCTAGTGATACACACAGACAAAGGTCTGAAACAGTTCAGCTGTTCTCAGGACATTGATTTGGTATAAATGATATCCACAATTCAACAATGGGCCAGCCTTTCAGAGTGCAAAAGGCTCAACACATCTGCTATATAATTCAGACCCTATTTTACAGTGGTTTCATTACCAACCATAAAAACTGTAACAGTGGAACTGTATAAACAAACTGAACAGTGTTTTTACTGTAAAACATGAACGTACTATAAATATTTGTCTTTCCCTTCTCTCAGCATCTGTAATGAGAGAAGCAAATTCATGCCATATGTTTATAGTACAAGGGGAAAAAAGTGTATCTCAACAGTTCATCCATGCAGTTGTTTGTGAAGCTGTTAAATTGCTTTAATTTGCCCATTTGCTTTTTAACACATTCATTTACTTACAGATCATTAAAAAAAACTAGTGCTTCACTGAATGTTCCTGAGGTTCAGTTGTTGATATTGTCAACAATGGAAGGCATGACCAAAAGGTCCAAGGAGAAACCCAGCCGTCTGCTATTCCGGTCATCTTTGTGTATGATTGCAGCCACAGTTTCCTTGATCTGCCACTAATTTTCTGCCATTTTAATCTTTTAACTTGGAAAGGTTTTTCTTGCATTATTCCAGCCAATCAGTGAGCAAACAGTGAATAAAAACAGTCACCATGCCACAGATTTGTCTATGTGATGATGTCAATGAAGGCAAACAAAGCCTTCTCATAGACTCATTCTGATAAGAATGTATACAAAGTTGGGATGGGGACTGAGGCATGACTGGCAATATAGTGATAGCAACCACGTTTTCAGCAATAACATGTTTGTTGCTGTGGCTGACTGAGAAATGCTTATTGTGAAAAACTGCATTGTTTTGCATCAGGTGTGAATAACCTCTGGCCCTCCAGATGTTGCAGCTCCAGCAAGCATGTCCAATGGCCAGGGATGTTCGTCCAGCAACATATAGAGGGTAAAAGATTCCCCACACCTGTCTTAAATGGTGCTACAGAATTACACAGAATGATACGCTAAACTACAATGAATGACTTCAGCAGTCCAAAGAAGGCTAATTTATACTCAGAATTTGAAAGTTCCATATTCTAAAAGCAGCTTAAAAGTGCTGATCTAAATTCTTCAAACCATCTGATTCTCAGAAAACAAACTAGATAGCTATTTAATTTGTGCATTATATCTCTAAACGTGTACAGATATAACAGGAATGCCATGAAAAGCTAAGGTATTGGACCACTATCAAAACTTGGATCTGGCTGTTAAATACAATAAAGGATATTAAGGTATAGTTTTTATAGCCTCTCAGCAAATTTTGCCTAAAATGAGGCTTTAGGAAAGCTTAGCTATTGAACTCTGTGCTGCAAGGAAAATGCGGTGGCCAATGATTTAGCAATTTCCAGAAATGGATTAGATATCAGTAGAAAGCAGTGTCTGTATTTGCTGATTATGCCCAAATTTAACTCCCATTCGTACAACTTTGCACCACCATTTTATGATTGATGAGGCTATGATTTTCAGTCATCTCTAGTGGGCCCTGGGAGTAGGAAGTGTGAGAACCCTTGCTCTAGGAAGTAGCAAAACAAACAAACAAACAAAAACCTAGCTTCCCATTGTAGAACTGTGTAAACTCTTAAGCATTTGCAAAATAGTGCTAGTAGATGTTTGCTTTCTTATAATTATCTTTTGGATCCAACCCTATAATTCTGTTTGTGTATATTCTGAAGTATTTCTTAAAGAGATGGATACAGTCGGGAGCTGTGAAAACCCTACTCAATCATTACGGTACTCTTTCATTCAATGGTGTCAATAATATAATACAGAATAAGCCCCTGAGTTCTTCAGCTCATGGGATAGGATTTCAGCCTTCTCCTGAGCAAATGTGTTTACAAACTGTGCCAGAGTGTTTTTCATTAAGCCTTAAAGTCAATTAAGCTGCGAATTGGAACAATCATTCCTCCTTTGCAAAGTATTGATATTTTTTCCCCTGCTCGCTTTAGGGTCTTTTCCACTACTCAAGAAGAGATTTATGCTTGACAATTTCTGATTAAAATGAATCATAGCTTTAAAATTCTAATTTCCTTTTTTTCCAGCACAAGAAATTGTCACAGTATTAAACAGATATTAGCCTCCAACATGCAATGAAAACCTCATGACAATTTGAAAACCAACAGAAATGCATTCTTCGGGTTTTAAGACACAATAAACCACCTAAACATCCAAGCATTGTGGAAAACACTACACATATACCTCTCACATGAAGTTTTTTAAAATTATTTTCTTCCTTTAGGGGGTTCAACAGTAGTCTCATGGTCTCCATCTTTTAACCTTGCAACAACCCTGTGAGGTAGGTTAGGCTGAGGAGGAGACTGGCCCATGGTCACTCAGCAAGCTTCAGAGCTGAGCAGGGATTTGAATCCAGGCAGGTGCTCCAAGTCCATGAAGTTGAGGCCATGACAGCCCCCCCCCCCGCAATTTTGAAGGGGCCTTCGGGGGGGATGAAGGGACTGGGAGGGAAGATTGGGGAAAATAAAATTGAGGCACTAATGATGTTATAAAGCTGTTGTAACTATCAGTGAGAATTAAGGAGCAAAAACCCGTTGGTCTCTCAGCTGTGTCAGTGAACTGGCCCAGCTTCTCATCTCTCTACGCTGCAGCCTGATGGAATGGCTGCCATCAGCCACTACATCACAATGGTCACCAAAGGCTGTATACAAAAACAAAACATTACAACCAACTTTAAACCAAAGAGCATAGCAGAAAATCTCTTAAAACCACAAGGAGCAGAATCAAAGATTCACATGATATAAACTATTAAAAGCCACATGGAATAGAAGTGTTGTTTTTTTCACTTGAATGTAAGCAAAATGGGACCAGTTTAATCTCTGTTGCAAGGGAATTTCATACCACAGAAAAGGCCTAGCCTCATCTTGTGCAGCATACAAAAGGACCTCAGACGAAAACTGTAATCTACTCTCAGGTTTGCATGGCAGGAGGTGGTCTTTCTGATATCCTGGCCTTAAGGGCTTTATAGATAAACATCAGAACTTTTAATTTGGCCTGGAAATAAATCAGAAGCTAGTCTTTGATATAAAACAGGTGTAATGCAGTCTTATAAGGCACACACCAGAAAGCAAACTGGCTGCAACATTTTGTACCATCCATAGCTTTCGAACACTCTTCAAGGGCAGCACCACATAGAATGCACTGCAGTAAGCTAAACAGGATTAGGCTGACAGATGGGCAAACAGCTCAAGGCAATGTAGTAAGCTTCAAGGCTGACGTGAACCACACAGGGATCTGAACCACACTAGCTCTGGAACTACAGGCATTAACTGTGGGATTAAAAATTCAACCTCACTGAATTCAAGGCAGAGTTGAATATTTATGAAGAAACCAAATGAATTATAGTCAAGATACAGATATTATTTTCCTTTCAAGTTATGTATCACCCCACCAACAGGTCTTGGCATCCCAGTCTGCCACTGTACCAGAGACAACTCTGGCAAGTTTTTGAACAGTGGCTTTACCACAAAACTGACAAGCTTGGCACCAAAAAATGGCTTGTTTTGCTACAGGAGAGAGAGAGAGAGAGAGAGAGAGAGAGAGAACATATGTGCATGTGCATTGTCTCCAAAAACATAGCTTAATCATCCTCTGGAAGTTTGTTTTTAATTTTTTTACAAAATACCTAGTGTGACACATTGCATTTTAAGGATTATTATGCCAAATTTAAAGTCAGGTTTATCAGGATCACACTTTTTTTTTTTGCTTATTCATATGCTGGAAGCGGAGGATATAAACATTATTTTTATCCAAATGCCTGTTGCTTTGTGGCACTACTGATATAAATGGAAAAGAACATTTGTGTCAAATATACATATAAAATTTACATTTAATGCAATTCTCAGAACACATGTCTTATCAACATTATCAAATTATTAAATTAAGCTATTCCAATCAGAACATTACAACTGTTGAGAAGCCAACTATTTGCTTTGAACGTGGAATATATTTCTGTTGCTATTTCATAATTCATGTTCTAAGGTCTCTCCTGTCTCTTCAACTGCTAGCATCTATGACATAAGAGCAGATAAGTCAATAGTAGTCAGGGGGTGGGCAACAATGTCCTGTTGCAATATCAGAGCAAATTAGCCATTGGCATCACGAGTTATAGCAAGCAAAGAGATCACAAATGGAAAGCACAGGTATTAAAGAAGAGGTTTTTGACAGGCAGCTTTTTTAATGGCCACTAGCAAATATCAAATACATATATGTGTGTATGATTATAGGCCTCAGCATTTTAATAGCAGTACCAATCTGCTAAAATTAATCAAATAGATTTTTGTAAAAAAAAAAAATCTTAACTTTAAGTAGCTACTCTCTTTTATCTCCTACCCAAGATTGCTTGCATTTTGATGTAAATATTAAGCATTCTGTAATTCATCAACTAATTCTCTCCTAGTTACACATTTCAAGTAATTAAAGTTCAGTAATAACTTATTCTTTCTGCTCCAGCACCTGCATTTCATTTGTTTATTTTCTCAGAGTCATAAATCTGAGGGACTGTCAAAGTGCCATAATATTAGTGCAATAATCAAAGTTAATTAGTCCCTCTCAATAAACAACAACAAAGTCATTACAAAGATGCATTGAAGGTGCTCCAGCTACCCACTTTACAGATGATATTGTACTGAAAACAATTAGGAATGGGGAATGGTTAATAAATAAAATGCATTTTTTTCTGAAGTAATTTGAAACAAAGACAATGTGGGACCTTCGTTCTTCAATTCATTCCCAGAAATGCTCACTTCATACTGCAATGATGAGATAGGTGCATTAAACTCAAATCTAACAACAGCTTCACATTAAGCATGAAAGGGATACAGCCATCTCCAGCCACACATCAGGGAATCACGGCCAGTTGTGGTTCTCAAGTATATGCTGCCAAACGTTTTACCATATATGTACTTATTGCAGAAAACACCAATGTAGTGACAAACACAATTGCTATGTAAACTGTGAAGCAACTAAACGTTCACAACGATGTAAGGTTATTATAAGGCTGTTTCAAAAGATGGGTTCATGGTTCATTTCATAGGCCCAGAAAAAATATATAAGCAATAAACAAAATATCTTAATCCAACATGATATTCTTTGAAATTTCAGGTTGAGTATTTTCATATACACACTCATTTATTCTGCTAATTACCTAGATATTCGTAGCATTAAGCTTTGGTGGGTGTAAAACAGTATTGCATTTAACAACTTAGCTGATCTCCATAGGCAACTAGGAATTCCAGGAAGGCTAGCAAGATAATTCTGTCCCTGATCAGCTGGTTTTCATGCTAGCTGTGTAGGAAGGAAAGCCTTTTTCTCCATGACCAGCTGAAATGTAGGCTGGTAACCTTTGTGGCCTTATTAGGTTATCGTTCAATGTAAATTCAGGTCCTCAAGTGAACCAAATGAAGACATGAAAATGAACAGTTTATAATAACTTTTTCACAAGAACCAGATCCATTTAGGCAGCTCCATGTTAAGTCATAAATTTTAAAGAATTACTTAGCAATGTATTTAAACCCACATTATTAACAGTACAGTAGCCAACAATGGCAAAATTAGCGCTGGTTCTAAACGGAAAGCTAATCAGCAGTCTTTGAAATACTTATTTATCTATTTGTGTGGACAGGCGGGGTCCCCCCAAACCCAGGTGACCTCCGAGCGGAATAATGACTCAAGACAACGTGCTATGGGATTAAAATTGGCCACAACTTTATTAAGTTTCAGATGTAGGGAGACCTTGGCTCAGGCATTGGGCATTTATCCTTCCCAGTCCCCAGCCAGGGTTATTCAGATGATAACCTGGGGCGACTTCAGGGTTATCCAGAATGTGTGGGGATTGGGCTGGCTCTGGAGAACATATGTTAAAACAGAGAGCCTTCCCCCCGTTTTGCCACCGTTGGAGGGGAGAGCAATGACAACCTCTCGATGTATGGCCAGTGCCTCCCCTCAAGACCCCTTTAACGGGGAACCCTGGTATCACCGCCACAAAGGGGGAGGGCGTGGGTCACTGCTTCACGCCCCACCCCCATTTAGGTAGATAGACTAAAGGATTCCGCCCAAGGCCTGAAACCGCCAAAGTTGTGATGTTTTGCTACGGGAAAGGCAAAACCTTCCAATGCAGGAAAATTCCTTTCCAGTCCTTCAACAGTGACCCTGACGTAGCAGTGCCTGCATACCTGTGGAGAAAAGGTTAACCTGCAAAAGAAGACTTAACTGAGGGAGGGCACGGTGGGAGAAGCTCTGGAGCCGAATGCCGCTTCGCAGGTAAGATTCACCTTCTGTTGTGTGGGCAGGACGGTCCCTCCCCTTACCTGGCCATTCCCCTGGCAACGCCTCCCCAAGCAGGATTGGGCGACTGGCTGAGGTAGGTGGAGACCCCCAGGTATCCAGCCTGGGGAGGATGAAGCCAGCCCAAACTACCAGGAGTCGCACTGGGATCCGGGGGCGCCCCCATTTGATGTGAGGAGCGGTCATTATTTAGTTCCAAATATGGTGTGTATCTTTATTGACAGCTGCAATATTTTCATCATTTACATGTCTCTGTAAAAATTGCAGAAGTTTCACACAAAAACACAACAGGTAATGACTGTGTATTCTTCCTCCTCTTCCACCTTCCTTCCCCCCCCCCCACGTCAAAATTTAAAATGCATGCTTCTTAGAACAGGGACCTTGCTACACTGCAAAGTACCATACACACCAATAAACAATGGCATACATCATTTTCCCTGCTCGCAGTATTATTTATTTATTTTATTAGATAGTCATACAACACAAAACAGTTTCAGGGTGACTTACTATCCATTTTAAAAACATACAAAATGGTTAACAACCACCATAATTTTAAACCTTCCAATCAATACATAAAACACCAGCTTTCCATTGGGCAGAGGAACACTAATCAGCAACCCAGAGAAGCACTAGCATAAAGCCTTGACTCAGCTGGCTCAAATTCCATCAAATGCCCAGGTGGAAAGCACAAGTCTTAACCTGGTGTCAAAAGATGCCAGTGTCAGCACCAGGTAGCCCTTGGTCCAGAGAGCATTCCACAGGCTCTACAACCAAAAATCTCTCTCTCATCTAATCAAGCAATGACGAAAAAGAGAATAGTTCAGGTAGTTTCAACCCCACCCCTTACCAGTGCCTCCCAAGCCAATCTTCAGTGTTAGGGTGCAAGTCAGATAGATAAAACCTGGTATCAAAATACATTTGGAATTTTACCCAGGGTTAAGAGCAACAACCTATTGCTAGTATTAATGATGGCTACGGTTGCAAGAAATCTTTCCTTTGATACAACCCTCCCACTCTTTTGAACACTTTCTTTTCAAGAGCTTTTGACCTTTCTACAATACTTATTGGTGCCAAGAAACACCTTCTCTTACCCATTCTTCCATGATGCGTTGGACAGCGTCATTAGCTCTTAACGTATTTCGGCAGGCAAGGATGACATGTGCACCATGTAGCGCAAAGGACTTGGCTGTTTCAAAGCCTACAACAAAACACATATTGAGAACATAAAGAATCCGAATTTAAAGCTAAGCAGCAGGTATTAACTAACAACCAAGAGACTGGAAATATCTGGATTCTATCTGCATACTACAATATATTGATTATTGAGTCAAAAGGTTTTTACCATACTTTCCCATTAAAGTTCAAAAACTGAAAACCAATAAAAGAATTAAAATAAAACCAAATTGAAATAGAGGTATATATTCAAAAGAGCAACATTACATTTGGCCAGCAGCCAAGTCTATTATCTTTTATAAGCCGTTTTTAGGCATAGTTTTGTGAATCTGATTTTTAAATGCTGATATTCTCTACTTTGATCCCCCCCCTTTGCTTGTGATTTTTAATTGTAGTTTTAATATGTATCATTATGCTTTAAGTATTGTTTTTAATTACTGGTATGTATTTTTTTCTGCCTAGTGCAAAATAATTTAAAATAAAAACAATTCTTAAAAAAACAAAGTTTTTAGGAAATTTAGAGATTTTAGCAACAATCTAAGTGTAATCAAACTTGGTGCAAGGAGTGAATGTTGGCACAGTTGACGCGGCACAAGAGAAATGAACTAACATTCATAGCGGCACACCTAACCTACAGGAGCAGAGCCTCAGTATACATAAAATTAATATAGAAGAAGGCATACTCAAATTACTCAAATGGCCTGAAATGAAGGTGAGAAAAATGTTCACTTTGACTCTATTCAAATCACTTCTTTACCATGTCAGTACCAAGCATACGTGGAACTTAAGTGAGTCTTTTCTCTACCTGATATCATTTAACAGTCAACCATCCACCCAAATGCATTGCAGAGGGACTTGAGAAGTGGATTCAAGAAATAACTTGCTAGAAAGAATTGTTACGTATCCCAGGGGAGTGACTTGGAGTCATGCTCATATGATTTGTTATTATGATTCCTACTCCACTCTAGGGGCCCTCAGTGTGGCTTACATAATACACACACATTAAAATGCAATTACAATTGTATTTTAAAAAAGGAAACTCAATTAAGAACAGAGAAATTGGATTAACAAAGTGACAACACCCTTGGTCCCTGAATAAAAATGTTACGGTGTGACAATTGGTGCTCACTGGGAATACTCACTAAAATGCTCAGTTCTCATGGTGTTGTATTGGCCATTTTACCCTTGGGTGCTCCCTTCAGCCCCTTGTTTATGGGTGGTCCCAAATGGTAAATGGGTTCTTATACAGAAGGGAAATAGAGGCATGGGGAAAAACGCTGAAGATCTGAGCTTTTTAATGTTAAAACTAGGCTAACATAAAAGTGACTGATACAATTGTAAAACTAACTTCGAGGTACATTGGCAGTCGGAATTTGACAGTACAACTTGAAATTAGAGTATTCTGACATTGAAAAGATTTGCATATTTGCCCCTTTTTCAATAGGAAAAATCAAATTCCTATCATATCATCCACCATGTATTTTGGAAAGTGGATTGTCTGTCTGTCTGTCTGTCTTTTCGTCCTCTATAGGTTTGGCCTCCTCTCAAAACACAGTTGCCAAACTTGGTATGAAGGTTTTCAAGGTGGGGCTGGCAGTCTTTGTTGAAGTTTGGGTGCCAGGCACCATTTTGAATCTTGATGGCAGACTGAAATGTGACTTTGTCATGGCAACCCGTTTTTTGATGTTACAGGTCCAAAATATGCTGATGTGGACCACGTCCCTGAAGATATTGTTGCCCCACTGGTGGTCCTTCACCAGATTTGGCATGGCTGAAGAGTGGGATAAAAAGGCTTTTCATTAATAAATACATTTTATTTCAAATGGAGGTATCACAGAGCCTTTCTTCCAAGGCACCCAAGTTGCATTCTGCTTGTATATTTGTAAATAAACCATATTACCAAGGCAGGTCTCCAGTGTGCACTCAGGCGAAACAAATCTAAATGCAGTATGTAGTGAAAACGAGCAAGCTCTCTGAGGCTCTCCTAAGATCGATCCAGGAATTTTCTAAGTTTCATGGGATAGCAACTCACAAAAGATGTCCCAAAGAAATCTGAGAGCTCCGAAGAATGTTCCATACACAGCATCAGACTTCCCCACTCAAACACAATCTAGCCATGATATACACCTTAATAACTTCAAGTTACTTAATACTAGCAGCACTATTCCAAGTGTGGCTGAGGAATTCTAATAAACCAAAATATAGTGCAGTTTTGATATGTTTAATCTCCCATCTTGAACTGTATCCGAATATAGACAAAAACCTGCTCCTTGATCTCAGGAACCACCATGGCAGCATTTGGTTATGACATCTTAAGAGGCATCCAAATGCATAGCAAACAACAACTCTGCAAAACATAGACTCAAAATCGTTAATTAAATAATACTCCAGGGCTAACAGTAGCTTCAGGTTGGTGGAGGAGGGTATGTTCATCAGGACTGACTCAGAGGAGGAAGGGGGCTAACCCCTTCACTGATTTAAAAATTGTCTAGTTTGGCCCTCAGATATAGCAGTAGGATTCAAGAAAGGAAGAACACAAAGAGCAGAGCCCAATTGTTTTGCTAAATTCCTTCCTGTTATTTCACAATACATTATCAATGCCCATAGCCAACTTTTCCACCTGTGACAACTGGTAGGAAATATAGCAGCAAGAATTATTAGGTAGTTTTGGTGCATGTTTTTGATAGATCAAATAGAAAATTTCCTACCAAGTTCTCATGGTACTACAGCTTAATGACTTCCAACTGTAAACACTTGAATTAGCACATGAATACTTAATAGGACAATAATATAAGTATATCAATACCAAGAAATTGACAGAACAAGGTAACTATTTGTTCCACTTTTATTTTAAACATGCTGCAGCATCCATTTAAACGTTGTTTACTCAGGGAAAAAAGCTATTAAACACAGGCTGCTTCACTTCTAGAAACACCCTGGGGCAAGAGAAATTTAGTTTACAACACAGGGTATAACTTAGATTATAGAATCAACAGACACCACATAAAGTTATACCATTCTCCGCAATTACATGCTTACAGTATTTAAATCTTAGCAATTTTCCTGCTTGCCTTTTTAAAGCCATTCATTGTACCGAGCAACTTTAATTATCTGGGCAATTCATTGCACACAGATGAATCCAGTTTCAACACATGCAACCTTTCTAATTCCATTCTAGGCAAATGTAGCAAGGAAACTTAAAAATTGCAAACATTATTAGCCAGTCATGCAGTTTACTGTTTCAGTAAAAATAAGCATTGATATTGAATTGTATTTGTATTGGTTTTAAAATTAGTTTTATACTGTAATACCAACTCCTCACAATTTATTACTAGTCCAACTAAATAGATATATAAACTGAATGATATCTGACAGCAAACAAGTGTTGGAAGAAAGATTTTTTATCCAGGAGCAGATCTAACCACCACCCAAAAAGTTTTCAGGTACCGGTAAGTCTCTTAAAATAACAGAACTAGGTTAAAATGAAAAGATGGTATTTTAGGCCTTTGTGTGTAAATCAGGATAGGAGCAGGAGATACAAATCTCAGAGTTGTTTTATTTATATATATTAAATTTCTATACTGCCCTTCATCCAAGGATCAGAGGGTGGCTTACAATATAGAAACACAAAAATGCATACCATAGTAAGAAATAAACCCTCAGTAATCTCCAAACACCCAGTCTAAAAGGCTATAGATGCTTTAATTAGCCAAAGGCCTGGGAGAAATGTTTTTGCCTGTTGCCTAAAGGTATGCAATGAAGGCAATGTAATGAGCCTTCCTGGGGAGCGCATTCCACAAGCAGGGAGCCACCACAGAAAAGGCCCATTTTCATGTTGCCTCCTTCTGGACTTCTCACAGAGGAGGCACACAAAGAAGGGTCTCAGAAGAGACTCAGAGAAGGGTCTCAGATGACAATTGTAGCTGTTCATTTCTCTGTAAAATTCCCAGATATTATATGCTATGTAGGAGAGGGTAACTGTGTAACAGGAAAACAAATATGTAAAGCTGACTTATACCGAGTTAGTCTACTGATCCATCCAGCTCAGAACACAATTATTTTCTGTCTTTCCCATAGCTACCTGGAGATGCCAGGAATTATACCTAGGATCCTTTGAGTGCAAAGCATGTGATCTGCTACTGATTGTGGCCCTTCTCCTGTGCTGTTTGAAAGTGTGCATCTCCCAGAAGTTTTGCAAATTTCCATATGCATATAACTTCACCTATATGGTGCTGGTAGCCGGAAATGAAATTTTTTTGCAATAATGCCCTGCACTAGCTGGATTTCTGTTTAACTATTACGTAAATAAATACATAAATAAAAGTAGAATATGGAGACGCAGGAGAGAACTGTACAAAGTACAAGTCTGACTTTAAAATGGCCATGCAAATTCAGGTTGGGGCAATAATGTTCAGTATAACATTCAGTGTGTTATAAATTCTAAAACGACCACCCTAAAAATCTCATGAGACAGGACTGACCCAACTAGTCTCCGGTTGAAAAAACTCTTATCTGACCCTCTAGTGACAATCCTATTTTTAACAGCAGTAAGAATACAAGCATGATGGAATACAAGCCTTACAAAACTTTTTAAAGCCTCAAATCCAATACTCAGGCTTTTTTTTGTTGTTCCCTCATCCCTACTGAACCCTTAACATTTTATAACATTTCATGTGAAAGTTTAAACATTAAAAGCTCTATGCAGAACAAAATGTTTTCTTAATTTATTAAAGCTTCCCGTTTCTGCTTCTTTTTCTACAGCACCAAGGCAGTATAAAACAGAAAAATACTTTGTAATAATCAAACCTACCCACTGACCAGCATACAGTGGTACCTTAGTTCTCAAACTTAATCCATTTCGGGAGTCCTTTCAACTCCCGAAACCGTTCAAAAAACAAGGCACAGCTTCCGAATGGCTGAGAGCTCCCTGCACTCCATCGGAAACCACGTCAGATGTTTGGCTTCTGAATTTTTTTTGTAAACCGGAACACACACTTCTGGTTTTGCGGCATTCGGGAACCAATGTATTCATCAACTAAGTTGTTTGGGCCCAAGGAATACACCTGAGGCCCTTCCAGCTTGAGTTTTCTTACTTGTTAACAATACCTGAACTAGCTCAGTAACTGGTAACAGAAAGTCTACTTAGGGGCTCCCATTTTACCTTCCTAGTGCTTTTGTACCTTATCTACAGAGGCCTAGTTTCTTTTGCTTCCTATCAGTTTCCATCAGGAGTAATATCAAGTCCTCCATCTATGAAAGACATAGTTGGACACTATCCCAATGGTTGTATCCAAAGTTAATATGCAAAGTAAGCCCATTTAAATTAATGGACATGCCTAACAGATCCATTAATTTCAATCAGTCTACAGTGGGACCTCTGGTTACATACTTAATTCGTTCCGGAGGTCCCTTCTTAACTTGAAACTGTTCTTAACCTGAAGCACCACTTTAGCCAATGGGGCCTCCCGCTGCTGCCGCGCCACCGCTGCACGATTTCTGTTCTCATCCTGAAGCAAAGTTATAATAACCAAGGTATTATTTCTGGGTTAGCGGAGTCTGTAACCTGAAGCGTATGTAACCCAAGGTACCACTGTACTCTGAATCAAGCTTACCTATTTATAAAATATGAAAATCTGACAGGTGTGTTCATATAGAAGTAATTGGTGTTCCCTGTTGAATATGTACCACAGTAAACAGAGGTCTGTTGCTCTATAGCACATGAAATACAAAATTTAAGCGAAGGTTTCAGAAGGTTTGGATGAGCATGAATAGCAAAGTGCCATTTTCAATAACAGTATTAAGGAAATGTTGCAATTATTAATTACCTATTTAAGTCTTCATTTTGCTAATCATGTACTTTCAGTGTACTTTAACATTTGATGAAAAATTTAAGACGCACTTTGCCGGAATGTGCATCTAAGGGAATCTAACATGTGCATCTTATATGGTTTAAGGGAATAAATATACAGAATGCAAACAAAATATATTGCCTAATTTATCAATTCTAACTTCCATCCCACCCATTAAAATAAGAGCCATATGATATATGTTAAAATTTGTTAACTAGCTTCAAAAAGGCAAAGTAATATGTTGATGTACACAAATAGGGGAGTAGAAGCAAATGTTTAATCCAATTGTAGTAACAGCCTATTCAAACAAACAGACAAAAATAAATAAAAAATGAAGCAGATCAAATACCCACTAACGTCCAAATCACATTTAGACAAGATGTGTGAGAGGATTTTTTCTTTCTGTGGCTAAGCTTATTCTCTGGCACTGCCTACCTAGCGAGTGTCCTCACTCAGATACTTTGTTATGACCTTTCACTATTTCTTTAAGAAGACATTTGAACTGCCAAGTTGTTAGTTTTAACTTCCCACCGTAGTTGTTTTGAACTACTTTATTTGCTACCATTCTGCATATTAGTTTGCATTTCAAACGTTTTTATTATTGTGTACACAAACGTGAGTATTTTAGTGAAAAGGTGAAATAGGTATACACTGTATTTAGTAGTTAAATTACATTGAAGCCAGCATAATACAGATTTAATCTATACTTCTAAAAACTAGTTTTAGCTCCAATCCTAAGCATAGTGCCAAGTCAGCCATCCTTTCACAATATGCTCTGCTAAAGGTGAACAGTCACAGCACCTTCCATATTGAAGTGAGGTAAAGCTTTCACAGTAGCAGTACACTATGATGTAGGAAAGGAGACACAGACTCATTCCAGTTGCCCTCATGCTCCTCTCTCTATCAAGCAGGCAGCTGACCTGCATGTGAGTGGCTACCACATCAATTCAGTAAAACAGCCCTTTATTGTCACTTTTTACAGGCTTCTACTTTACAGTTCCAAACACTTTTTGGAAGTGCATGCTTAAGAGGAAACACAGCTTGGCAACCCACAAATGAAACTAGTCTCATTAGCAGAAATCTGTATTTAGGGAACTATACTTGGTATATTCATAATGTAACTGTTTGCTTTACAGCCACTCTTTTGAGGCAAAATCTGTCCTTTTCCTCTGTGGTATCAATATAATGGAAAAAATGACCTGCCTCCAGAAGATGGCACAAAAAAATTGAGTCATCAGTTAAAATATTCAGTTTATTTAGTTGCATATATTGATAAAGGTAAGTTGTGGTTTCTACTATGCCAGCATTTCCCTGCTGAGCTTAAAGGACAATCACCTACTACTTTGTCTTTGCTTTGGTTAAACATAATGACCTGCATCCCACAAAAATAATTTCATGTATCCAAGAGAACTTTGAACATCTATTTCTTGAATATCATGCCACACTGTAACCCTCTTTTTCAAGTGAGTGGTTTTTCAACTTTATTTTGTGACATTGTATGAGGTTCTGCTAGAGAGAGAGAGAGAGAGAGAGAGAGAGAGAGAGAGAAATAAAGAGCACATTAAAAATTACACTGGACATGCTTGAGCCTTCAGCTGAACCACTTATTTGAATCCCTGCCAATATTAGTGAACAAAAACAACACAGACTTCTAATGAAAGCTCAGTTTTATGGATATCTCTGTAAGACAACTTCTTTCAATCTGGTACATCGCAAATAGCAGCATCAGCCTTTAAGAATTTCATATACTTCAGGACAGATGTCTCACTGCCTTCTCTTCAACTGGAAATCTCGGTCTTCAGCTACATGCCATCAGATTAGCCTGCATTAAACCAAATTCCTGGAATTTTACTTCATTTCAGTTAGCAAGACCCCCTTCTCTTTTTCACTACCTACCCAGCAGATTTGTTTCTTGTGACAATCTACAACCCACAGCTTTGTATTTCACAATTGCTCTACCTATTAATTCTTTTTCCATTTTTTTTCAGAAGACAAAGCAAGTTTATCTTCCAGGGAAAGAGTGCCTTTGTGAGAATGAAGTTTAAGAGAAGGTAGGTTTTCATGCCCACAGCAAAATAGAGCAGGAGGGGGTACTTGCTACTCAACAGCTTCTTCTTCAGATGTGAAAATTACTGTGCAGCTCCTCTGTGAGCAAGCTACTGCAGAACAGAGTACTAATTAAGCATTAAGGAAAAACAAAATTAGTTGCATGTTTTAAATCTCCTTTTGGCAAGTACAACAGTGCAATATTAATACAAGCAGTTTCATAAAATTAAAAAGGCATATTTCATCTCAGATGAAATTAGAAGACTGTTTTGTCAGCTAAAGTGTGCTGGATCTTTTCAAGCATTAAACCAACACATTTTCTTTGAGTTGGGAAAACAAGTGTGACTTCTAGACACAAATGGAACCAACGACAGTTTCCTTAGATCATTCTCTATTTATTCTTCTATTTACACACAGAGGGATCAAATGGACATTAGGAATTGATTAACAAAAGACAATAGCCCGCCCCCCCCCCAACAAACATACAAGTATCACCCAAACAAGCTCACAGATTTTTTTTAGGAGCAAGAAGATAAATGCAAAGGCTCATCTACTCTATAGCCTTCAATCCTTTTGTCTGCTTCTTCCAAGAAACTCTGCGAATGCAGTTCTATACATAACACAGGATGCCCCTAAAGGGTCACAGTCCCAACGCAGTGTATTATTCCCTCCTTCAAATTCCATGCAAAACCAGGGTCATGACAAATGCTAGGAATATATGGAATTTTTCAGAAATACAAGGACAACAACAATGTCATGATGCCACCACCTAAATGGCAGCTCTTAGATTGGTACTAGTAGTTTAGAAGGATGCCTTAGGTTTCTCTTTTGTTTATGGATATAACAGTTCTTACTTCTCCCGGTAAAGTGTGGATAAAGTCTTGCAATTATTCTGATTTGGGGGAGGGGCAGGGGGAGGATAACAGTTTGCTTTGCTACTATAGACTGCTAGAATAGAGTCAGTAGAGCATGAGATTGCTAATCTCAGTGTTGTCAGTTTGAGCCCCATGTTAGGCAAAAGATTCCTGTATTGCAGGGGGTTGGACTAGATGACCCTTGACCCCAAATCTACAATTTTATGAGTCTATGTAGCACCAAAACAAATATTATCAAACTCTAAACAGATTATATGCAGCATCCCAGCCAACTACTGCAACCATTAATCCACATTATGTTTGCCCAAGGCAGACTTTAATAGGTTTCTAAAGCCCCTAAAAAGCAACATTACCTGATATAGACTAGAAGGGCTTCAAGTCTGAAAGATGTGTTGAAAACAAAACACTTTCTATTTCCCATTCTGCCTCCCTACATCCACCCAAGTAAGTCATTAATTTAAGTCTTCCATTTAGAAAGTCAAACTAGGTGGAACTGCAGGAACATCACAACATACATTATCTTAGAAAAGGCATTCCTTCTTTCTGAGATAGCACCTTTCACCTGTAATTTTCATTAAGGACTTACATTAAACTTAAAAAACAACAACAAATTATGATGCCCAGTCCATGAACAGCACACTTTTCAAATTGATCAGAAGGTTTATAAGCAGTTAGCCTAACCTAATATTAGCCAGCTAGATGTCGCAGCCCTAACCATTAGATATTCTTGAAGTGTCAAAAGTAAACAATGCTCCCAAAAGGCTTATGGGAAAATTGAAAGGGAGATATAAAAGCAGCAATGACAGCTTGTTCACAAGAACTGAGCTTTAATCCAGCTACGAACCAAAACTGCCACAAGGGCTTACAGGGGAAGCTGTGACAGGGCAAAAGGGGGGGAGCTGTTACATTCCTTAAATAAGCCTTCATGTGACTCCAACTTACAGAGTTAGGTAGTGCACAGAGTTGTTCTGTAATGAAAGATAAATAATGTTAACAAGTGATATACCAAAGAGATTTCATTACAAGTGTAATTATTGAACCTTTTGGCCTCAATGTAATCTTACGTATTACAAGTTTGTCTTGCATTGTGAATTTCAGCCAAAGTTGATAGAGTTCAATAACTTGACTAACCATCCATGTATACTGCTCATTACCCAAGTAATAGATTTATCAAAGCAGGCATAAGGCAATACAAGGAACAGATACCATTTCTAGAAATACCTCAGTGGAAATGACTAGATTTCAACAAAACCATTATTATTAAGAGTTTAACTCCATAATTTAGAACATAGAGAGAATGGTACCTAATGTAAAAGTAAGCACCAGAAAAGATGGCAACGCTAATATACATACTAGGAGATCATTGGAACTTAAACCCCATCAAAAGAACAAAAACAAAACTGCAGGTATACTTGATTGTGAGATTCTTCCTGCAACAGTGTAGAATGCTTGCAGCACACTTTTGGGGAGTAAGATAACAAACCTTGAGCATTTTTTCTGTTCTCTACGTGACACTAAATGCTAGTAAGTTCCATGAAACTTTCCTCCACTGTACAGTTTTCTGCTAGGCAGGCATTGAAGAAATTCCATTAAGGATGGACAGTGATAAGGACTGCTTCACTCCCCACCCACAAAAATAACATATTAAAAATGCATCTCCACCATTACAAGGACTAGGTTTTCACTTTGCTTATTTTTAAAAATAAAGGCCAAGGTTCCCAAGAGCTGTAGATTTCACAGAAAACTCCCAAAAGCCATGTCTTGGAAAAAACAAAAACAAGCAATGTCTGGCATCTGTGCTTGGGAGATTTAAGAGAACTTTCAAGCAAATTTAGATAATCAGGATTCTAATGAAACTCTACTTTCTCATTAATGTGCAGGTGTGGGATTTTGAGCCAACAGCAAGATAACAGCAAGATGATTATTTTCAACTGAAAATATACTAAAGAAAGTATCCTACTATATGATCTGCAGGAAGTAGGGTATTACTGAACTCTTCATCACCATCTAAAAAAACACTTCCATAGTCCAAGGACGTTTAGGCTATCCTCTGCTAACATTTTAAAGAATTTTTTTTCACCTTAATCAAGTTCCTGTTCATATTAGCTCTCCCCTAGTTTTAAGATCTGACAACAGAAACTATTCAAAAGTTCTGCATAGAGGAAAAACAATATTCATAATTCAATCTAACAATTTTGATAGCTTTCCCCAACACTATGGTTTTACAGTTTTCCCTTAATCCAAATATATTTGATCACATCTGCCACTATGGTTCCAATGACTGCATTCCAATTCATTTTCTCTTTGCATTTGTCTACTTTTGACAAGCCTAAAAGAAATTTAACACAAATGTTACACAAAGATAGTTTTGCAAAGCTCACATGCCATTAGTTTGCTTTTCCATTTCAAGCATCAGACATTACAAAAAAAAGTCTTCAGCCCACAAGGGCAAACAAAACAAGGAGACCAAGGTAAGGACGTTTGCAAAACTATTTAAAAACTGCATCTCTTATCATCACTTAGTCAGGTTTTGGAAAGCAGCTAAAACAAAAGGGATGGCACTATAGAGCACAAAAGTGTTATTGGCAGCTACTTTTCGAGGGGCCAATTGTGATATCAAGTATCAATTTCATCATGTCTCAGGCAGAGACAAATGCAAAACAATGCAAGATCAAATAACTATGCAGGACTCAAAGACAAGGGAGCAACACAAAATAGTTACTAACATGTACAGTCATACCTCAGTTGAAGTTGCTTCAGGTTGACCACTTTCGGGTTGCGCTCCGCGGTGACCCGGAAGTAATGGAATGCATTACTTCCAGGTTTCGCCGCTCGTGCATGACGGTAAAAATGACGTCACGCGTATGCGAATTGCGACCCGCAGACGCGGGTTGCGTTCGCTTCAGGATGTGAACGGGGCTCTGGAACGGATCCTGTTCGTATCCAGAGGTACCACTGTACAAATATCATAGAAGACAGGTGCAGAGACGCTGGGTTGTGGGCAAAAAGTAATTCAAGGGCTTGTCTGTGATAAGTACAAGTTGACTTTTTCTTCTTGAAAGATCAGACCCCCCAACCACAAAGTGCTTTTGTAACTTTTTTCAGTTTTTGAGAACTGCTTGACACAAGCAATATAGGGCTAATGTTTGAGAATGGGAAATAAAAAGCTCCCCCTTGAGTGTACAGATCTAATTGTGTTGTTTTTTGCATCCTGGCCATGGTGTATATATTTCCTCTCAGAGTGGTGCAACTGAAACTGACAAGATGCGACTTGCTGAATTGTTTAGTTTCCATCTCTCTTTAATCTCCCATGTACACATAAACTCAGGGGCCAGGCATCAACACACACTCAAACAGTTTTCCAATTACTTTGACATTCAAAGGCAAAAGGTTTGTTGAAGGAGACTCGTGGCATGCATGCGTATGCCGATCATCACCAAATCTACTATTGTACAGTAGCAGATACAATACTGCTTTTCCTCAAAAGAGTTTAAGTACGTTACAGTTTGTAATAGAAGAATTTAGGGAGCTTTGCCTATGCCCCTAGAGAAAAAGTGTTCCTTTAAAGAATTTCAGCAGCATCACAAGTGTTCTTGCATCGTGTTGCAGAATTCTTGCACTGCCTACAAGAGATTAGATCCAAGTGAGTACTGCATACAGAAAGCTAGACTACACAGGATTTCAAGGACATAAAGAAAGCTTTATATAAGCCTTAAAAGACAAAGGCTAGTGTTTTGATATCCACATTTATCTTTATCTTAAGTTAAAAATTCTGGGATACTACGAACTACTGTGCTTAGTTTTGTCAGATACATTTGCCAATGAAGTTGAAGTCAACTACTTGCAGAAATTAGTTCACCTAGTCTTCCACATTTGAACTTTAGCACCAGCAATTGATATATAAAAAGCCCAAGACAAAACTAATATTTGTTTTGGTAAACTTTAAAGCACTTTGATATGTTGCTCTTTTTTATCTTTCTTTTTGCTTCATTTTTTTCAGAAGAGCAATAGAGCCCTCTAGTGGGGAAAAAAATCAAGACTGTTAACTGCTAACTCACAAGTAAGGTAGGAGCACAGCATATGGCTGCCAAATGTGTATTATTTTAAAACATTTTTATCCTATGTTTCTGCTTTACACCACACTGGAAATGTTAAAGCTATGAGCAAAATATATTACTCTCCATAGACTGAACAAAATACAAACACAAAACCTTGCCACTTGATAGAAACAGACTTCCCTGAACGAGACATAGAAAGACCCTGCACTATATTTTTAATAAAACTTGGAAGCAGTAAATTTTCGAAACCCATCACTAATTTTCACTTCCTTTACTGGAAATACAGGTGAAGGGATGGTAATTGCTAATTACAACAAGTGTTTATAAACTGTCAGCTAATATTTTTTGTGTTCCACAATAATGCAGAAAACCAAGCTGACAAGACCTTCAATAGCAAGTAAGTAGAACCCAACAATGAATATTTTTAAAATTTCGTTTTGAAAAGGTGGTGTACTCAAAGGAAAAGCCTCTTATGTTTGTCATCATATTATACATTTCCTCACTCTATGAAGTTTAAAGGAACTAGAAAACAGTTAACTGCCAAATATATTCTCCCCCACCTCCTTAGGTAGGCTTTGAATTTTCAAACTGCAAGACTGCTTTTTTTCCTAGTTAAATTTAGAACCCCATAGTTTGATGCAACAGCTTACACCTATTATCTTTTTTGAAAATACAGTGTTCAAATCACAATGGGAAATAATAAGTCACATTACTCACTGGCACATATGTACATGAACTCTTTTTTATTTAGCAGTTATTTGCTTCGTTGGTATAATGAGCTCCTGTTTTGGGCTCAATATTAAAAGAAGAAAGGTAAAGGGACCCCTGACCGTTAGGTCCAGTCGCGGAAGACTCTGGGGTTGCGACGCTCATCTTGCTTTACTAGCCGAGGGAGCGGGTGTACAGCTTTCGGGTCATGTGGCCAGCATGACTAAGCCGCTTTTGGCGAACCAGAGCAGCACACAGAAATGCTGTTAACCTTCCCGTTGGAGCGTTACCTATTTATCTACTTGCACTCTGACGTGCTTTCAAACTGCTAGGTTGGCAGGAGCAGGGACCGAGCAATGAGAAGTACCTGGTAGCAAAGCTATCCAGAACAATATCTGCCAAGAATTTAACTATGACCAAAAACTCTAATTATCTAGAACGTTCCTTGTGAGGTAGCCAAACCAGACAATTGTGTAATAACACATCATCACTTGGCATGCAGTTTTCCTGAGTCATCTCTTACCTTCCTTTGATGACAGACTGTACTTTTAGATTTGATGCTAAAGGACAAATCAGAACTGGGACAAGTTTCTGCGCAAATGAACCTTTACATGGAAATAAGTAGTTATTGGGACTTGCATCCGATTAAATAAATTTAAGTTTGGAATGTTGGTCCTTTTATACAGAAATATACCACATATAGCACTGATCAACCTAGTATTTTGAAAATCAGTTATGAAGACCACTGAGGTAGTATCCACATGCATGTAACACATGCAAATTCACCAATACAGCTTGCCACAAAACTGAATGCAATATTGACCTACCTATTCCTGAATTTGCTCCAGTGACTATGACCACTTTTCCACTCATATCACGACCCTGAAGGATTTCCATTGCAGTCGTGTTTCCATCATACTTCTGCTTGGCATTGGGTTTCATTGGATTATCTTCTACAGTAAATGCTAGTCTTGGGTCAAGGTATGTTGTCCTTTTATTTATGTGGCTTAAGAGAAACAAGAATGATGGTCATGCTAATATATCTTCAGTAACAATGCAAACACTGAGAAATACTTTATATTCAAACACTGCTATGTCCCTGTTCAGTTTTAAGTTACAGAGCTGCTGCTTGTATTGCTGAGTCCTACCTTGTTAGTCTCCACAATCCCCATTCTTTCACAATCCTGGAGAAGTGCAAAAATTAAGTTTTATCAGGAGGTTCCTCTCAGATACAAAAATGTGGAATAGTAAGGAAAGAGGACAAATGAGAAATTCTATTTATCTCTCATCTGGATAAAGGCATAACTGCAAGATTCTATGACCTTTGGTTAAACTTGGATCATAACCAGGATACATATATGAGAAAATGGGTGTGAGATTCAAAGAATAACAAGGAAACAATGGATTTGGGACAACTTATTATCTAATATAATTTCAGCAGACCTAAAGGAGAACTATTTTAAAACCATTGATCAATGGTTTGATCAACACCTTATAAATTGAATTTAATATATAAGTTAGTATTGGATAGATGTTGAAAATGTGGATAATAGAAAGTGGATTAAATACGTACCCTTTGGAATTGTTCAGATAAAATTATTGTTGAAATCTGTTCAGGCTAATATCTGATATGTTAGGCTATCATATACCCTTGGAGCCTTAAATATTTCTGCTTCGTTATTTAAAAGATGTTATTCCAGAAAATGATTTAAACATAGTGTTCAATTTTATAACTATCGCTAAGACTAAAATAGCTAAAAATTGGAGGTAAAGTGTATATCCTACAATATCTGAATGGATTGAGAAAAAATGGTCCAAAGTAACTATGATTAAACTAACTAACTTATAAAAGAATACATATAAACTAGTCTAACAGGTTTATTTTAAAAGGTTTTTTTTGTAATGTTCTGGAACAAGTGTAAGGATAATGTCCAAACTTATGCTGCTTTCAACCTACTGTAATTGTACCGCATTTCATTGGCAGGTGAAGCCAAACTTTTTTGCCCAGATTTTTGGGGAGGTATAACTTGGAAAACATGAGCACCTGTTTGTCATTGCTACTTTGCTTTTATGGATCTGCAATTTGATGGCAGATTTTCATTCTTGCATTCAGCTTTGTACTACATTGTTTCAACTCTAATTTTGATGTTTACATGTTCTGTAAACATCCCTGGAACCTTCAGGGGAAGGGTGGATTACAAATATTTTTATAAATAAGGTTTTTTGAACTATTTGTATAATTTTATAGTTGTATATTTTGTAAATAGTTGTATAATTTGTAAATTTGTATAATTTTATCACACAATTTGGAGGTCGTGGTAAGAGTCTTTTAGGAATGAAATTAGACCCTAGAGGACAGACCAAAAAATCCTACCAATAAACTTACAGGCTCTAACCAACAACAGGAATATCAAAAGAGGGATTCAAATGAGAGACATTTTGCATAGTCCATTACTGTTTACATTAAATTGTCACTGTTTGTAAGGCATTCTTCTGGCCAGAAATCTATAATAGACATAACTTCCTGAACACTCGGATTGAAAAAAAACTCAGATTGCTAAAAAAACACCCAGCAGCTTACAAGACCTGTGGCTATCTTAAACCTACAAATATAGAACTCTTGAGTTTTCCATTATTTTGTTCCTGTAGCACAAAAGACTGAAAGTCAATGGGGAGCAGTTTCCAGTTTCATCTCTATGGATTAGCTTTCCTTAAGTAAAAATAAAGTGGTCTGCAACAAGTAAGAAACATTAATAGTCTGTAACTGAAGGCCAATTGTGATATTACTGGCTTACAGTCTCAGTTCTGTGTGTGGGGAAGGTGACAGAAAAATGGCTATGAAAAAGAGTCGAATGCAATGACTACATGAAGCTGGTTTAAACAGTCAGACTATCAAGTCTACTATTGTTCACTAGGACTACTATTGTTCACTGAGTCTCAGGGAGAGGTATTTCCCAGGACCTTCAACCAGGCACCATGTAATTGTAAGTGCAAGGGATGAAACCTATAAACATAAAAGAGCCTGCTGAATCAGTTCAATGACCCATCTAGTCCAGCCTCCTGTTCTCACAGTGGCAAAGCAGATGCCTATAGGAATCCCAAAAGCAGGAACTAAGCACAACAGAACTCTCCCCAGCTCCCCGGAATTAGTATTTGGAAACTTAATGCCTCTGACAATAGCGGGGTAGAACCTAGTCACTGTGGCTAGTAACCATTGATAGCCTTATTCTCCATTAATTTGTCTAAAACTCTTTTGAAGTCACCTAAGTTGGTGGCCATTGCTACCTCTTGTGGGAGAAAATTCGACAGTTTAACTATGCATTGTGTGAAATGGTACTTTTTGTTTCTCCTGCTCTTTTGTATTCCAATATTATGAGAACTATTTACATGCATATGCTCTGTAAATTAGCTGTGAATTCTTCAAGTCTCTAGACAGACTTGCCATTGACAGCTTCAAGCAACTTTTCCAAAGAAAATGAATTAAATCATGTTAGATTTAATATGGTTTGGCATTTTTTATTAACTATACCTTTCAAGAGGCTTTTTACAAAACAAGCTTCAACACGCTACAAGAAAACCTGGAGAAGTATTTCACTGCATTCCTGCTTTGAATAGTGCAAGGATAGATAATTTGGAAACCAGTGACCATTAAAATAAAAAAACTGCAGAAATGTCATTTGGAGGAGAATTGGAACCCTTGCAGTTCTCTCACTTACTCAACAAAGTAGACTTGTCCATTTTCATCTGTTTCTTGCTCCCATCCATACGGCAAATCTGAAGGAATATAAAATAAATTTAGTGGCATTTTTAAAGCAATTTAAAGCTTTCAGCTTAAATTGTATATCCTCAGCAACACTTTGTCTTCAACTGAAGAATGTGGTGGAGACAAGAACCAGTAAAATCCAGGAAAGGAAGAGTGTGACACAGTAATGGAAGGCAATGAACAAATTAACCTTCCACATGGTTTTAATGCTATAATCCTATGCACACCCTTTTGGGACTAAGCACACACTGAATTCAATGAGACTTGCTTCCAGATAACCAAGCATTGGATCAAGCTGAAAATGAGCAATGCCTGTTCGGTAGTTAGTGGCCCTTAAGGGATTCAGTTAGTCTGCACACACCTTTCTTTATAAGTTTATTGCTAAGACTATATATAACTGAAGATCTGAAATTACTGAAGTAGGGAGATAAGAAAGGAGAAAGCATTGTAACTGCAACATTTAATCTGAAATAGAAGAGTCATGGCAATGGCCACTGATGTTTCATGTTGGATACAATCCAAAGTTCTAGTATGCCTAATACAGCAACCCCAATAATGCAGGACAATTTGTTCTTCTGCAGCTATATTTTATAAAAGGAAGACAATGAGTGAACAGCTGCAATAATTTACTTCCACTACAGAAGAAGCCTCACAAATTTTGGAGGAAGGATTCCAGATTAAATGGTTTAAGGACCAACATTGGGGTCCTCCTATGACACAAGTATTCATGTTATTCATGTCATGTTTCCCAGCCATAGAGATTATTATCTACAATCATTTGCAAATTATGGCACACCAAGTTGATGGCTCAGGCTTTAACTTTTCAAAGTTTATTTATTATTAAATTAAATTACTAGTCCATCCTTCCTCCCAAAGGAGCCCAGGATAGCAATTTAAAATAAAAGTGTATTTAAAACAATTATACGTGTTTTATTGGAAAACATTAATTGTTAGCGGGTCTTTAGAAAAATGTGCTTCCACTATTTTCCCTTGAGATTTTACTTGGAAAAGTATCACACAGATAATGGAAAAGACTAATTTACTAGTATTAGGACTCAGCTACATTAGTAAAGAAACAGTGAACTGAATATGCTATAAACATGTAACAACACCAGATGGCACCAGACCGCAGGAAATTTTAAAATGAGGTTTTCCATAGAAATTTTTTATTTTGTTAAAACGATCTAATTTCTGACTCATTTATAGCTTTTCCCCTGTGTTTAGAACTACCCTTAGTCAGCAAAACTAGACACAAACCTCCGGCAACTCGTTTCCGTTTCCCGGATTTGGGATGATCCCACTGAGTTCTTTCTTCCAGGTGACTGAAAGAGAAGCATTTCAATATAAACAAATATATTTCACAAATGAAGTGAGAGCTCAATTGTGTCACTATGCATTGCTAATATCAAAACTGGCCAATCTTCCTGGTGCAACAAACATTTGCAGTAAAGCAGTGTGCTCCCCCTACCAATGCCTTCTAGCTGCTTTGGGGCACAAATAATTCCTAGAATACTATAATGAAAGAATATGGGTCACTGCTAATTCATACAAAGGCAAAGCTGACAGGGAAAATCCGAAACCAGAGTGACCAAGCGTTCCAGAGAGATTGGAGTAAATTTATGCAATATATAGACAATCATTGTAAACATATAAAAACACTAGCAGGACTGAGATAAAACTCACAACGTTTAAAAGAAGGAACTTTCTACATGTGTTTTGACTTTTGAATAATTTTAGATATATGTAGAATTAAGCTATTACAAATGTGTGGACATAATATGTGTTTTATAAAAACGAGAAGACGAACGGAGGGAAGTTGTGAGCTCGGTAGAGCATAACATTTTACAAAAGGTGTTAATGTGATATAATTATTGTTAAAAATGGAAAATTAATGAAAATATTATTTTTAAAAAATTCATACCAAGGCAGTGGTTACAAACAAGACACAGAAAAGATAACCTGTCTGTATGAATAAATAAAATAAAAAATTGTCCAGTAGCACCTTAGAGACCAACTAAGTATAAGCTTTCGTGTGCATGCGCACTTCTGAAGGTATCTGAAGAAGTGTGCATGCACACAAAAGCTTATACCCAGAACAAACTTAGTTGGTCTCTATGGTGCTACAGGACTATTATTTTTTTATTTTATTTCAACTGCGTCAGACCAACACAACTACCTACCTGTGTCTGCATGAATGTTAAGGAACAGAACTGGTAGGCCCAAAGTCTTTCTTAGGAATGCTCAGGAGCCCAAAAGCAAGTTTTCAAAAAGTTTGTTAGGTTCTATAAGTTTCCTTTTACAGCAAAACCTGTGAACCTTCATTTCTAAGGAGAGATGAACTTACTGAGTTGCACCCAACTGTGTTACTCAGCTAATGGTAATGCCTCCATTTGCAAAACTTAAAATTCCCTCTCCCTCCTGCAACCCCCCACACCACTTAAATTTATTTATATTTTATTTCATAACATTTATACACCTCTTGATTGTAAAACAAACAAACCTCAGAGCAGTTTTCAAAAACATAAAACAAGAAAATAAAGAAAAAATTACAATCATACTTTAAAACATACAAAAGTTTAAATACTAAAGCAGATTAAAATTACCTCAACTTTCTAAGCATTTGGGTAGGCTCATCTAAACAAGAATTATTGTTGCAGGCACCGAAAAGTGAACAGTGAAGGCCCCTGCTTGTTGTCAACAGGTGGGGAGTTCCAAAGTATAGGTGCTGCCCCACTAAACAATCAAGTTCTTTCAAATGCAGAAAGGGCAATATGTGGCACCTGTTGTAGTGCCAACTTTACTCATTGAAACAGTCAAGTAGGCCCATATAGGGGAAAGCAATCTCAGGTAAACTGGTCCCAAGTTGTTAAGGGCTTTTTATTTTAATGGTAACACCTTGAAATTGGCCCAGTAGCAAATCGGCAACCAGTGCAGATCTCTGAGCACAGGTGCTCTATGTTAACAAGGCCTCAATCCCATCAGCAATCATGCATGCTACAGCCTTCCGCACTAACTACAGCTGCTGGATCAAACACAGTTTCATAGTCCGCAACTCCTCAAAATACCAAGGAACTGCTCAGGTTCCAAGGCGCCAAAGAGGATGCTTAGGAGTCACATCAACTACCCATTTCATCTGACCATTCCACAGTGAAACAAGGGATTTGACAGGATCATCAGCTTTCTCAACTGGAAAAATGCCCCAGGGCAGTGGTTCCCAATTAGCTTCATTCTGCAGATCCCCTGAACAAGGCCAGGTCATGGACCCCCTATTTTTGAAAAGGCTTACTTCTGAATAAAAGCGCACAGGATTGGGCTCTACTTCGTTTGCCTTTGAAGATATCAGAAGACTCCTTTGCTGTGCTTCTTTGTGACTTATTCAGTTTGTTCTGTACTTATGCTATTGTTGCTTTGTAGACAGTGGTCTGCAACTGCCCCCAACCTTAGGCTGGTCAGATACAAAAGGGAACGGCATGCTTACACCTTTAAGAGCCGAGTAGAAGAGGCAATTTCAGCAGGTGTGAGTTTGCAGGACAAGCTGCACCTGCTGGTAGTGGCAGAGAAGAGGCGATTCTCCTGGGGTGCCCTGTTCGCTTTTGTACCGGTCACCCAACCAAACAAATACAACTGCATCCCCTCCTAGCGTAAACTCCATACAGCACTATGGGGAGGGGGTTGTTATTAATATTTTTAACACCTCATTATTTCCAGGAACCATGTTGCACTGGGGACTTCTTGCCTCTCACCAATATAACCCTACAAACCACTCAGGTTCAAGTAAAATTCTGCACACACCCCAAGACATTACGAGGGTGGAGGGGAAGGAGAGAAGAGAAAACTTTTCTGCATGCCACCCTCATAAACCACTGAGAAATGTTACTTTTTGTATCTTACACTGGTAAACTGAGGAGACTTTACGTACCCCCCACCCACCCACCCACGCCGGACAAGCCACTCAGAAAAGCGACCCTTTGCCGCCCACCCCTCACAAGCCTTCCCTCAGGGAAAGCCCACCTCAGAGGCGGGAGCCCTTCCTCACCTGCCTGCCTGCCCACCTGACCCTCTCCCACTTACTTGGCATAGTAGACCCAGCCATCCTTCGTGGTCCTCTCCTCCCAGCCGGGGGGCAGCTCCTCGTCGCTGTCGGTGTCGTCCAGCCCCGCGTACTTCAGCGCCGCCATAGTACCTCGCGACGGTCCCAGGAAGGTTCTCCTCAGAAACGCCACCCTCCCGCTTCAATTATCGCCCGCCTCCTCTTCCCTCTCCCCGCACAGAGAAGGAGCTTCTTGCAAGCAGGTTTCAGATTTTGGGGGCGGGGGGAGTTGTTGGGGGGTTTTTAAGGAGGGACAGCCCTTTCCGGTTCTGTTGAGCCAATCCCAGGGCACGGAGGACGAATTGTATCATGGGAAGCGTAGTCCAGGGTGAGGGGAAAGCACGTGCCAAGCCGAGCTTTCAGCGGAAGGAAAATACAGTACCGACGTTGTGCTCGTGGATGTTGCTGCAGCGGGCAAATGTGGCTTTTTGTAGTCCCGTGCGAGATTCATCTTAAAGTTTGGGCTATATGTAACTGCGTCTCTGTAGTTTGTTTTTATTGTACTGAATATGTATTGCTTTGTCATTGTTCGTGCTTATGTTTATGGTAAATGTATGTGGGTGGATGTATGATTTTGAGAGAAATGCCCCGGTTTGGGGGACAGTTGTTGAGAAGTCTTGAAAGCAGGAACAGAAATAGAGGGCTGCTTCTGCAAATGCTATTTCTACTGATAAGAATAATAAAAAGGAAATTTCCCCTCTGGCAACAGTTGCGCTTTGCCAGTTTCAAGTTCAGCGGATGTTTTTGTACTTCATGTGCGCCTGCAATCTTTTTCACACATAGAATAAATCCCATTTTACGCACTTTGTAACCACTTTGCTTTGTGCCGCAGTCTGCATTCCTAGAGAAACTCCCTAGCACCCAGCACTCTTGGTTGTAAAGACTGCATCTATAAAAATACAAATCCCAAAGTATTGCGGGTGGGTATATAGTGGATATATAGCAGAATTCAGTTTTCAGACTCAGAAAGTCGACATGAATTGCCATGCAGACTGAGTTGACAAATTAAAATGTTCATCTGATTTGTATGATTGTCCCACTAGTCAGGGAAGCTATGATAAAAACAGTGCACTGCATTGTAAGTGTAATAACTGAACACAGCACCAGATGGTGCAGTATACAAAATAATATAGCAGAATAGTCTGCTTGTAATCTTTTTATGCTACGAACAATTAACCAAAAGAATGATACACAGACCATTTTATATTGCCTGTATACTTAAATCCTTCCAACCCAAAGTTTCTAACTATTTATTTCATATAATTTATTTATTACTTTTAAAAGTCTACTGCCTGATTGTACAATAGAGCTGTATCATGTACTTGTTTTATGAATCTATACATTGGTTATTAATCTGTAAGATTATTCGATTTCATATCTGTTTTGTAACATGGGAAGTATCAAGCAAGTTAGTTTGAATATGGATGAATTACGAATAATCCTACAGTTTTCTTTTCTACACCTCTGTGGTCAGATTAAACACCATCCCCACCCCTGCTCTCTCTCGCTTTCACTCTCTGTGTAAGTATGTTAAGGAGAATGTAAGTTGAGTGGTTAATGTGACCATGATGCATATCCCCCAGGCCTCATGACAAATGTGCGCATAGTCCAGCCATGAAGAGGGAATTTTGCACATTTCCCAGTCGCTATACATAATTTCAGGTTTCGGAGAATGTGCATACATATATTGAATGAATTTTGTACATTCTCCTGTCAATATGGCAATTTTATGCCTCTGATGACAGGGCTGCTGGGGAAGGGAGTGGAGAGGATGAGGAATTGATATGGGGGGGCAAGTGAAAGTGCTTGGGGTTAAAGGGAACATTGGTAGCTCTGTGGAGGATCAAGAGGGCATTTGGAGAAATTGTGCTGAATATGGGAGTGAGAAAGTCCCTAGATAAATTTGGAAAGAAAAGGGAGAACAAGAGAGATATTAGCATGAAAGATGAGCTGGAGCTTCTGGAAGTAGGGACAGGGCATGAGGTTTTTGAAGGGGGCTGGGTGGAGTTGCCTGTGTTTGGGGGCAGGATCTGTGCGACAAAAGATAGGCTGGTGGAAAGGGAAGGGATAGGACAGGGGTCAGCAACCTTTTTCAGCCATGGGCCGGTCCACCGTCCCTCAGACCTTGTGGGGGCCCAGACTATTTTTTTGGGGGGGATGAATGAATTCCTATGCCCCACAAATAACCCAGAGATGCATTTTAAATAAAAGGACACATTCTACTCATGTAAAAACACGCTGATTCCCGGACCATCTGCGGGCCAGATTGAGAAGGCGATTGGGCCACATCTGGCCCCTGAGCCTTAGATTGCCTACCCCTGGGATAGGATTACAATTGGTTCTTTGAGAGGGCGGGGAGGGCAGGGAGAGAAAAGAGGAGACAGAATGGGAATGGGGGTGAAGGTGAAAACACAGGTACAAAGTGGGGTGCAAAATAAGAAATAATCTACTGTAGGCAATTTTGAGCTAGATGTGCCACTAGTCTGACTCTCCATAAAGCAGCTTCCTGTGTTATTTTAATAATAATAGCTAAGCTGACCATCACAAAATATAATGAGTCCAGAGAGAATGCTCTGTACCCCATGTAATTTCACCACCACCATTATTCCCAATCCTAGGCTCCTGGCTTGGAAGGATGATCTTCACCCACCCAGAGAAACTTTCTTCCCCATTATCATTGTATGTGTTTTCCGAACTGAAAGATGCCAGCACTCTGTGCTCTGGCTTGCTCAGGAGAAAGCCCTGGCAAATTCTCTCTCGCTCACTGTGCCCAGCAAGATGTGGATGTTCCAGGATGCTGAGCAGCTGTTCTGCGAAAATCCCAATATTTGTGAAGAAGTGCTCCTGGTCCCAACAGGCTTTCATGTTGTCCACTACCATCCTGAGCCCAAGCCCTAGAATATGGATGCTGCAAAGGTCCAGCGTGATTTCCTGTGGCCTGCAGAGGAGTGCAATGCTGTGGTGTTCAAATAGCAGCATCAGATTCAGCACCTAACTTGAGTGGACAGCACTACTGGTGCAGTAGTCAGGCTCATAGGGCCAATACCCACCACCAGCACAGCGACCTTTGCCCTTCAATGGAGAATATAACCTCCAGTGCCTGTATAGCACTATGGCAGGCAAGGTACTCAGAGCTGCTTCCAGGACAGCTTACAGAGGTTGGCAGCTGCCTTCTCCATGCTCGTCCTGTAACTGTGCCTTAAACCCAGGTGGAGTGTTAATCCAAGGTTTGCCTGCCACTCCCTGCCTCTGCTGAAGGTAAATGGATGACAGTAACACCTCCTCCAACCACTACCAACTTACCTTAACATATCTTTTACTTACACTCCTACTGTGAATGGGGAAAACAATAACTTTTCTTTCCTAGTGGAAGATCAGGACCAAGAGAAAATTTGGCTGAGTAATCATGGAAATGCTTTTGAAAGCAAGCTTTAAAAACACACACACCAAAAAACAGAAAGTGGGGAGGGACCCACAATTTTAAAAGTTGGGAATTCACCACTATTTAGAGCTAATGAATGATTATTTTAAGATCAGATCACACCTGGATTGAACAAACTGAAACAATGATTATGTACTCTGTTACTCTGATGGGAAGGAACCATATCAGTGGTAAGACACCAACTTTCCAAGCAGAAGGCCCCTGGTTCAATTCCTGGTCTCTCAAATTAAGCAGGACCCAATAGTAGGAATTGTGGGCAGGCAGTGAGGTGGGGGGGCACCTCTCTCTCTCTCTCTCTCTCTCTCTCTCTCTCTCTCTCTCTCTCTCTCTGCCTCAGACCCTGCAGGGCTGCTGCTAAACAGAGTAGATAATGCCAGCATAAGGAAGCTTCCTATGTTCTTCCTAATAAGAATTGCAGCCCATTCCTATGCATGTTCATTCAGAATTAAGAAGGTTGGCAATGTTTAACTAATAAGATTGGTTTTCAAAAACCCAGTTAACTGATTTTATATAGCCAGCCAAATTTTATTCAGAGTAGAATCATTTATTTCAGTGGGTCTACTCGTCGCCAGCACACAGGTGGCCCTTTCCCATAGAAGGGGATCCCTTTTGGTGCCTGCTGTGACAGATGTGGGTCATTTTATTCTATTTTTAATTTACATTATTATCTCTCAACCTTAAAAATAAATAAAACACAGGATGGCTCACAAATAAAACTGCATAATCAACAAAACCACGAAGTAGGCTTTTTTCTTCAGAATTACTGGTTTTATCAACAGACAAATATAATTCATAAGTTAATTGATTATGCCGGTAAAACTCAAATGGCTGCAATTCTATACATATTTACCTGGGAGTAAGTTCCCCATAACTCAATGGAGATTACTTATGAGTACAGTGGTACCTTGGTTTACGAACTTAATCCGTTCCGGAAGTCCATTCTTAAACCAAAGCATTCTTAAACCAAGGCGTGCCACAAACCAAAACACCTACTTCAGGGTTTGCAGTATTCTTAATCCAAGTTGTTCATAAACTAAGCTGTTCTTAAACCAAAGTACCACTGTAGACATGTATAGGCTTGCACTGTGTTTAATGGGCTGATAACTTTAAAATGAAGTACAGCACATACTCTCAAATAAGTGTACATAGGATTGGATGTCTTCGACTCCCCTGTTCACACACACACATCCATGCATTAAAACACATCATTGCCACTGCAACATCCAGCTCTTGTGCTTTTGAAAAATAACTTTATTGAAATGTGTAAATCATGCAAAGTGTGAAGATATTCAAATGTGTTAGATATAAAGCATGATGGGAAGATACATGTCAGAGAAGTATTCATCCCACTCACTGTATATATGTTGATAGCAGGGACACTTTTTATGATAACAAGCTTTGAATAATAACAAGAGTAGTTTGTTGCCTGTGTCCTGATGTCATAGGAGCCTTGGAAATAAGAAGTGTGCTTAAGAAGCCAGACTGATGAGGATTTAATACCTCAGTATCTACAGGATGCTTACAGCAAAACCTCACATTCCCTCTGTCCTGCAGTCCATTATAAATCTTGGGATGCAGCTACCCTGTAATTAACCCTGCAGTGCTGGGATACTGACTAGGATCAAATAGTGGATCTACCACTAACAGCACAATCAATTCCGTGTTGGTTGTCCTATCACCTCTGTTTATGACATTAGCAGTGTTCAAAGCAGAGCATTGATTTTCTTGCAGCAACGGAACACACAGGGAATTGCAACTGAATGGAAAATTAATTAATAGAGGAAGTATCTGCTTTAAAAGAGAGGTTTGCAGTTTTAGTAAACAGGAAGGATTATCAAGAGGTATACACTTGAACTCAACAATCCATCATGACTAAAGGCTATTTTGACTGCCCCATACAAAACTAATTACCCGAAAGTGTGGTCTCTGACTCTGGATTTGTTGTGAAGCTTGGTGATGACTGCAAACTGGCACCCCTACCATATATGTCTTTCAAAAGTGAAAGAAGGAAGCAGACCTAGCTGTGATTAAGGGATCAGGAATTCACAAATATATCGTTTGACAGTACGGCAGACTTCATCCACCCACTTTCCTTGAGCTGACTGTGAAAACAAGACACAATTTTCCCGTTTTCCTCCATTGGGTTGTGACCGGTCCCAGTTGAAGTAGTTGAGGACCATTCCATTGACATCTACAAATTTCCCTTCATTTACCATGTCAGTGACACCCAGCCAAAAATCTGCCACACCTGACAAGCTCTTCTTGCTGTACTCTCGGAGAGCGTTGGTTTCATCGCCATCTCTGGGGATAGCAAGAGTCCCTCCCTTGGCTATGCAGTCTTCATTTGCTTCATGGAAACGTTTTGCACCATCGGATGCCAAGTAGCATTTTTTATAGACCTTTGTTCCACGAAGACAGACTGTGAATGAAAGAAGATGGATGCAATGATTAAAGAATCTATGTTAAGTGGACCAAAGTGGTTCTTCACTGGTTAGTGCTACCTGAAATTTCCCTGGATTTGGAATTTTTCTTGGCAGAATTTAGGATGGGTGGGCATCTATTTTGGCCCTAAGAACCTAAACCCGTACAAACTTTCAGTTTGCAGTGATTGTTTTCCCATAAACACCATTTCTTCAGACACAGCATCAGCACTGTAGTTCCTTGCACCATTATTGATTTTGAGAGGAAGCAAAATACCTCATCACAACACTTTCATTTCCTGCCGATTCAAAGAAGCAGCCCAACATGTGCTAAGGGCAATATTAATTGGGTCTTCTAATCACAGTTTCAATTTGTTCATTTGCAAGCTACTGAAACAGGCATAAAGATAACCAGCTATAAAGATGATGGCTGCTTATTGCTTTGCAGTAATTGATGGAGTTAATGGCTCCTTCAGCCTGTTGGCCTCTCTTTGTAGCATCATCCCAGTAGTAGATACAATGGGTTGCTTTAAAGAAAAAACTGAACCCTGGTTAGGGGATGCAGTTAATACTAGTGCATTGGGTAGACATTGGGCGGGTGAGCACTAACACTTACTGGATCCCAAAATTAACAGGAAAGGCTTGATGAGGTTGAGTGCTTTGGGCCAATCTCTGTATCTGAAATACTGAAAGTTAGCATATAAATCCCTGGATTGATGACACTGAATATAACACGAGGACATAAGAAGAGCATACTGATGGCTTATTTCAACATTTCCACAACTCTGGGTGCTTCTAGAATATCACCATTGTTGAACCTCCAGTCTCAGTCTACAGTTCTACAGTATGTACGCTTACCTCAGACTTAGTCTGAGAATGTCTATTTTGGGGTAGGATTCAATTGCATACCAGACAATTCAGGTTGCGCAATTTTAGTTGTTTGGGAAGTCCTGCACAACAAACCTGCTCCCTCAAAACGCTGGACTTTTTGCAATAACAAAAGTGATGGGAAACTGAGAGATAGCATTTGCTTTGACATGTCATTTAACCTTACCACAAAAAATAAGAATGAATGCTCATTTAATAGCCAGCATAATCTAATCTTTCTGTAAATAAATCAGGATGGTCATCTGGAAGTGCCCTGAGTCCCCAGGCTCTCGGGATAATCCCTTTTAAAACTGCCTCTTTTTCCTGTGTGCAATTACAAGTAGCAGAAGGGGGCACTGAAAAAACAGGCCTTCTTGTTACCATGTTGTGATCTCTTGGGACAACTGCCCTCCATGACTTTATTACCCAGATATTATATTATGTCACTGACTCTTTAAGCTGTTTTGGTTTTGGAAGTCCAAGGAGAAGAGCCAGAGGGGGGCGGAGAGAAACTAAAAATGAGCCAGGACTGTTATTTGTACTATTTATGTTTGGAAAACGGTCCCCTCCACCTCACCACTTTGGTTTCATGGCATACTGCAAGGAAAAGCAGATATTTGTCTTGACATCAGAATGGGCTGAACTATCAGGAAATAGGTGTATACTTGGCTGTCCACCAAGGGCAGGGATCTAAAGTCCTTTTCATTACTTAGAAACACAAAGTGCCAAAGTAAAGCTAGCTGTGCATGAGGTCAACTCAGTGCTTAGCAAATAAAACCAGGACAAGGTATCTGAAAACACTATTTTAAAGTTTGCACCAAACACCCCAAGTATTCATGTATTTAATAATATCTTTAATCATTTGATAAAAAATGGAATAACATCTTTCAGTCCATTTACCATCTATTTCTCTTCCCCCACCCCAATCCCCAGTTTTAAAACGAGCATTTAAAGTTATTTAAAACTGAAAAATATTAAGGGGAGAGCCAACTAAAGGAAACGACTCAACCCTGCAGAGCAAGGATGGAGGACTTGTGTCCCTCCAGATACTGCTGAACTATTATTTCCGTCAGTCAGAGCCAGCACTGGCTAATGGTCAGAGATGATGGGAGTTGTAATCCACCAACATCTGGAGGACCAGACATTATCCACCCCTTCTGTAGAATAATAAAAAGCAACCCTTACCTGTCTGCAGTGCTTGCATTTCCTTCAGGGAGTTTACCTCTTGCCAAAGCTTGTTAATTTGACTCTTTAGGTCACCGTCTTTCTCTTAAATAAGTAAGTATATACATACATTAATATGTTTACACACATCAAAATATTTACAGTAAAATGTGGAGTGCAATACAAAGGCTGCAGTCCTAACCCCGCTAACCTGGGAATAAATCCCACTGAATTATTTGCAGGCTTCCTTTAGCATGGGGTGAAGCTGCCTGTGAAGGGTGAAGTCTGTACATAGTAGGGTTCTATATGGCTGTGTACACAATATACACCCACAGTTTGTGGTTGCAGGCAGCTTTCTTTATTTCCCTGCTCCACACTACATAGGTGAGGGGCATTTTTATTTTTATTTTGCCAGTTTTGAGTGTGTGCCACGTCAGTAATATTTGACACAAAGAGGCTACCTAGAGAAGTGCGGTAGAGGTTTGAGAAGTACCTTTGCTACCTTCCCATCCCACATGCTTTAGCCTCTTTGAATGTTACTGGTAGAATGTGAGAACAGGCTATGCAAAAGTGTCTTATCATGGCCCAACGTTACTTTAAGAAGAACTGCCCAAGTATGAGGTTTTTTCCATGATTATTTGCTGTCTGTTATAGTAACTATCTATAGTCCAAAGCCGAGCTAGAGGATGTTCCAGGTGTTGCTGAATGACCGTTCTTTCTCCCCCCCCCCAGTTTCTTCATGATACAATAAGTTATAGAAAACTAATGTAAACGAAAACAGCTACCAAAAGTAAAAATAGAGTATAGAGTCCTCTGTTAAAGGTACTTCTTAACCCTTACCACCCACAGAAGGTAGTAGCCCCTCCCAGACCTCACCTGGGATCTTTCTTTTTTTCCTCCCCGCCACTCATTCTGGGAGATCAGCATTTCCCTGTCTCCTACCCAGTTCTCACCATCCTTGACCACTGGTCAAGCTGGTTTGGGCTGATAAGGACTGGAGTCATAGAAACACCAGAAGGTGAGTTATACTGAATCAGACCACTGGTACATCAAGCTTAGTACTGTCCACACAGACAGCAGCTCTCCAGGGTTTCGGGCAGGAGACTGAACCTGGAATCTTCAGCATGCAACTGAGCTATGGTCCTTTCCTACAACAACACCTGAAGGGCCAAAGGCTCCCCATCCCTACTTTAAAGACACATGAAGCTGAAGAGGTCTAGGTTTGATCTGTGCCTGGGAACTCCGGGTATAGTATGTGTAATATGTTATGTGCCCAGGCTTTTTCTATCATAGAATTCATAAATAAAACTATCCAAATCAGATGAACCAACATAGCAAAAAAATAAAATAATACTTGTTAATAAATTTACTAAGGTAACAATCAAATAATATATTTATCATAATCTTCATTCTCTGTGGCCTACTAAGTTTGCTTACCTTTAACCCTTCGTTTGCTGTGTTTTCTGGCTTTGGAATGGACAGACTGGCCAGTTGTTTGATCCAGCAAAAGGATGGTAACAAGGAGGAAAATCAGAAATCCCATTTGTGCCATCTCTGTTTTCAGACAGTGAGCAAGAGTCATCAACAGCAGCTTGAAAGCAGTTGTGAGAACTGCAACCCTGTAGAACTGATGGTGTTTGGCTTTATTAAAGGGTGGTGAGAGAATTGGCTGCACTCCTTGTTTATTAAATGAGCAAAATACTCAAGCAGGCTTCAGCATAAGGTGCCCTCTTGTTCTCAGTCTTTAGCCTCTCCCACACCAGATTTATACTTCCTGTCAACTCTGACCAATTGAATTTATCAGGCTTGCAATCCAGGGCTTAACGTTTTTACTTAAGAGTAAGGCCTGCATAGTTCAATGCTGGAGAGTATGCTCTTTGTAACAAGGACAGGGAATCTGTGGCCCTCCAAATGTTGCTGGACTTCTACACCAGCCAGCAGCAGCCAGCATGGCTGATGAAAGTTGTAGTCCAACAAAACAGGTTTACCATTCCGTTTACTGGAAAAGTGGCCTCTTAATCCTAAGGGCTGTTAGAACAGCTCGGCCTCCTAATGTGAGCTGCACTCTGCCCTGTATCAGTTGATCTCAAAATTGTTTAATGCATGCCCTTCTTCCCAAAGGAGCCCTGGGCAGCAAACATGAACTATTAAAACATTTAAAAACAATTCTATTTTGCAGAGCTTATTATGATCCTATACAGATACAGACCAGGAACAGCAGGTTCAAGCTTTCCATCCTGTTAATTTTATTATTAGGTTTATATCTTGCATTTGCTCCAAGGAACTCAAGCTACCATACTCTGCAGTACTTTATCCTCACAACAGCCCTGTGAGGTAGGTTAGACAAAGAAATTGAGTGACCTTGGTCCAATCACAGTGAACTTTGTTGCTGAGTGGTGATTTGAACCTGGGTCTCCCCATTATTCCACAGTGGCCCTTGCTGTCTACTATAAAAAAGGATATTTCCCTCCCAATCCCATTTAGGACTGATAAAACTGACCGCAAGCAGTTCCCACTCTTGTCAATTTCATCATTCTATAGCACATGGGTAAATGATTATTGCAGTTGGTGGAAAATGTTGCCCACTTAGAGGGAAATTATCTACAGTGGTACCTCGGGTTACATACGCTTCAGGTTACATACGCTTCAGGTTACAGACGCTGCTAACCCAGAAATAGTACCTTGGGTTAAGAACTTTGCTTCAGGATGAGAACAGAAATCGTGCTCCAGCAGTGCAGCGGCAGCGGGAGGCCCCATTAGCTAAAGTGGTGCTTCAGGTTAAGAACAGTTTCAGGTTAAGTACAGACCTCCGTAACGAATTAAGTACTTAACCCGAGGTACCACTTTATTGCTGTATCATGGATAGTGCAATGGGAGCATTAAGGGAGAAATCTCTGCCATTGCTTGCGCACAGAATAAGAAGAGAAGTAGAGCTGTTGCTCAGTATCAGAGCACCTGCTTTGCATACTTTGTCCCAGGTTTGATCCCAGGCATTTCCACGGAGAGCTGGGAGGGACCTCCCTCTGAAATCCCAGTGGGCCACTGCTAGCTATTACTGTGCTAGATAAACAATGGTCAGATTCATCATAAGACAGTTTATGTTTCTAAGCATTTTGGGGGCTAAGGGCAGAAAGACAATACACCAACCTTCACCAACCTTCAGATGTTTTGGACTACAATACCCATCTGTACAATTCTATGCTTTATATTGCTTTCTGGTTGTCTTTGCTGAATAATAAAGACAAGTTTTGCCTGCTATGTATTAGCTGCAAAAGGCATGCTTTATCTGTGGTCTGTTGCCTTTCATGTGTCTTTTTGGATCTTCGTACAGTATTTTATAATATTATGATTTGAAACTGCAGTGCCTAGGCCCATGAAGGGCAGGATAAATAAATAAATACATGATTTGGAAAGTAAGAGCTTCCCAGAGACTGGGCTCATTTACCAGTTGCTTGAAGATATTATTTGGGCAGGTCCGCACCTTGCTGCCTGTCACTGGATAACTGCATCCTCAATGGAAAAAGAGAGCCTGCTGTTATAGTGAAGTCAGCCATAAATATAGACATGGGTTGGGAAGCACAGTGAAGTTTTCAGTGCAGAAACACATCTTTGTTTTGATTACATCTTTGGAATGAAGTAAACAGCACGGAATGCTGCATCTTCTACAGGCTCCTGATGGTTCAGCAACAAAGCGCTCCTTATGCTGCCTTGGGAAGCCACCAGAAAGACTGGCGGCTGCTTGTAAGAACATGCCAAGCTTCCTTTAAAAAAAGCCTCAGACTTAGTCCGAGAACAGAAATATGTTGCTTATACATGTTATAATGGCATCAGTTACCCAGTGGTGGAAGCTGCCTTGATCCATTCAGGTTTGAGTTTCAGCTGAAACCATTCACAATCATTTTGGACATAACGGCATCTTGTGAAGAAGGCAGTCTTTTTCCTTCTTGCTTGAAACCAGTTAATTGACGAAAGCAGGCCTGTAAGTTAACAGAAGTTTGTAGACCATCCTGACAATCTCTGGAACAGCTTTCCTCATCCTTGACAAGGCTGGACAACTGGAATTGTCTGTGAATAGTCAGCCCACCTACCTACTGAGCATGCTGCAGGAAGGGAACCTGTGGCCTGCCAGATGTTGTTGGACTAGAATGTCCACAGGTTCCCCATTCATAGTAAGTTTGCATATATTACAGCTATTGCTAAAACTCTAGGGGGACAACCAGCACCCTAAGCTGCTTTTGCCTAGCCCAGTCTCAGCTCTCTGTATCTTTCTCAGTCCATTTCTCAAACTGCAGCCCATTTTCTCTATCTTGTCACCTAGATCATGCCATCCTCACCAGGCAGGGTCAGTTCTAACATTAGGCAGTGTGAGGCAGCTTCCTCAGGTGACATGCTGGGGTGGTGCTGGTGTCAGCAATGAGGTGTTGGAGAACAGAGTTATGTATGCCCGGCCTGGCCCAGCCCTCCATTCCATAAGCTAGTTTGTCAGTTTCAAATGCAGTGAAGGATGCTGTTCCATCACCAATGCTTGAAGGAGACTTCAGCTACCAGTCCAATACGTGCCTTTTGCCTAGGACAGCAAGATGTCTCCTGCAGTGTGTGAACTTAGGACATATGCCTATACTGCCCGGCAGTAACTCTCCAGGTTTTTCAGACAAGAGGTATTCCCATCCCTATTTGAAGATGCTGGGGAATGAATTAGGAACTTCTGCTTGCAAAGCAGATTCTCTAAGCTGCAACTGTTTCCCAATTGAAAATGTATGTGTAAGACATGCCCCCCCCCCCTTTTGACAATCTGGCGTTCGCCATCCAAACCATTTTCTGGCCTTTTCCTAGTCATCGTGGGGCATTTGCCTATTGTTAGTTTCTGTTTGCCACTGAGCAGCTGCTTAGAGTCACAGGACTCTGTTTACATTCCAGAGACAGTCCAGGCTGTTGGAAGTCTCACGGGAGATGGGATGTGACGTTAGTGGTTTCCTGTTCCTTTGTTCCTTTGTTTCAGTTGCTCTCTGCTTTCATAGAGAGAGGATGTATATTTCTTTGCTGTTTGCGTAGTAAGAAATAAAGCATAGCGATGTAGCCATAAATCTCATCACTTCTGCTGCTTTGATTCTCTGCTGAACGGGAATGTGCCTGAGGCCTCATCAAAGGCTCAGGTCATTAATTATCGTCGGGGGCGATTCTGAAGGAAAATGAGCTTTATCAGCTTGGTCGCAGCGGAGATCCCAACACCTGTAACTTCCCTAACAACCAGTAGAAGCTACTACATTAGTGCAAATGGGGAACTTCTCCATCAGGTTCTGTTGCCTGCCAGCTCCCCTTCCTGCTTGCCTCCTTCCATCTAGTAAAGTGGGTGGTGCTGGCTGTTGGCATCCTCACTCTCAGCATTCCCTTTGTAGAATTCAGGGAGGAGGATGGGGACAACCCCATAATTAGTTGACTCTATATCAGGCTCTGGTTCCTCCTTACTGTTGGCATCCTTGCCTTTTGCCCTACCAGAACCCACTGCTAACGAGAGAGGCACTTGGCAACTTTGCTATGACTGTTAATGCACTCAATAGTAGGACCTGGCTCCTTGAATCCTCCTTAGTCTAACCCTCCCAATCCCACAACAATACTAACTTGAGAGAGATCAAATACTGGTCTTCAGTTCATATAAGCCAGCTGTTGCCTGGATCATCCTCCAGGTGGCAGCATTTGAAAAAAAAATCAGCCATGTCACCTTTTTTGCATTTGATAGGCATCTATCTGTTAAGCGTCTAGCTTCGTATTTCATACATGAACTCTGGGCTTTTGTTTCTGTTCAAATTCTGAATATGGGATCTATCAGGGAAGGATATATTGCCTAGTTTTGTAAGGTCAGCAACCTTTCATATCATTATTGCCAAGCCTACTTTGAATGAATTTCTCTGCTATTTTAACGGCAGATCCTGATGTGAAGGACGTACCAGAACAGCCAAGGCAACATGTGTGGATTCCCCATACCCCAGTGTAGGAATTTTCCATTTCATACCTAATTTGTTTTGCAAGTTGCTTCAGTGATTCAATAAAAATGACGTTCACACTAGTCATCCCAGCTTGAGCAAAAAATAGTATCAGACAGAGATTTTACATTTTCATATAGATCAATAGATAGTTTAAGGTCTGGGCAGGATTTGGGGCTGTTGTTTTTAATTGAAGGGTGGTATAAGGGAACCTATGCTAATATAATAAAGTCTCCATGCTTAAAATCAACCACTAAAATCAGCGAGATGTGCAGTGCAGCCCTAACATATGTTTACTCAGATGTAAGAAAGATTACGCTCAGTGGGGCTTCCTCCTTAGTAAGTGAGGATATAGGATTGCAGCCTTAAAAGTACTTTATACTTTATACTTTATACACATTTTCCTGGCATGTCTACTTTTGAGTAGACATACACAGAATTGCATTGGAAATTTGCTTAGACAAGGCTTCCAGATGTTTTTGACTACAATTCCCATCAGCCCCAGCCAGCAGGAACAATGTACAAGGTTGGTGGGAGGCACACAGGTTACTTGGTCAGTTTCCTGCTGCTACAGGGAAATGTGTCACCTCAATCACTGATATCCTCTGAT